TCATCTGGGGCTGGGGAATGCTTGGGGATTTTTTGTATATAGTAACCAATGGTGAATGGTTGGGATATAGTAACCATCATTAACCATTATTCACCATTAATGGCAAAATCTTGGTTATTCATGTATATAGTACGGTCATCAAGGCATTTGTATATCAAAGATGTTGGACTCTGAACAACATGACCAACATCTTTGGTTTGGGGGATGTGTTATCAGATGGCAGTGGTGCATGTTTTTTCTCGGCAGCAACAAAGTCACACGAAGGAATCACTGAAGTGCCGCAGATTCAGAAGATTTCTGTTGCATCCGAATATGGATGTTCAATGAGAGTCTGATGATTTGTAATTATCATAGTATGTTTTTTTTTTCCCTGACTGTAGTGAAGTACTGTAGGGTTTCTCGATCAAGGGTTCCCATGTACGTGGAGATGTTTCACCAAGATCAACTTTCTCATAAAGCTGTAGATAGTCTCCCTTAAATTCACCCGATGACTCAATGTTTGTTTTAGGTAAAGGATCTTGAAGCTCCCATTGTGGTTGGTCTTGTCCATTTTTGTTGGGTCACCTCCCTCTTGTTTGGCTGGATTATTTTGATGGATGCAATCCAGCTGGGTGTTGTTTTGTTTTTTTCCGTCAATACAACTCAGACTGGTTGATGGTTGCCGCTTACATAAACGTGTGGTTAATACGAGTCACTGGCCCACATGTTTTCCCTTTTTGCGGACAGGATGATAAGTATACTTACTATGCCCAAGTTCACTCTTTAGTCATCATATTTCATACTATTTCATTATATAATTTTGCCATGAAGAAGGGGGAATGCACCATTTTCAGACATCCACATCCATCATTCATTGATGGAGCACACATTGTTCTTTTGTTGATGTTTAAAATGTATATTTAATAGTATTTACTTTCTCTTTTTGATGGTTAGACTATGTTAGACTATATGGGTATGGATCAATACCTATTAATACCATTTTTACTGGGATGAACATCCATAAATCCCAGCTATTTTGATGTGAACTACAGGGGTACTATTGGTTTTGACACACTGCCATATAAATCCCATCGAAAATCACCATAACTTGCCCTGAAATCTCCCATGGTTTTGGGGACACACAGACTGCGTCGTTTGTGAAGCGTCGCAGTTGTTGAAAGAGATCATCGGGGAGCACTTGCCGCGCTTCACCACGGAGGAGAAGAATTTGCTGCTGAAAGGCGAATAAAAATTGGTGTCGGACTGGGCCCACTGGGTCGTTTGGGTCCTCTGGTGAACGTTTACAAAAAACTATGGAAAGATCCACCCATCTTTAATGGGAAAATCCATTATTTCTATGGCCATTTTCAAAAAATCTATGTTAGTTCACCAGAGGGTAAGTTTTTTGTTTGTTGTTTGTTAGTCATCACTGGGTCGTTTTAGTCATCACTGGGTCGTTTGAGTTTCTTTTTTTGCGGAGGTGAATGGGTTTATAAATCAATGATGGTTAACCACACAGTGATAGTTTGAAAATGTTTGAAATATCATGTGATTAATAATGGTTTGTAAATCCACAATAATGACCACCAGTCCTGGTCGGTGAATGATGGTTAAGGGGTTTATAAATTTATATACCATTTATCATGGATTTATTATAAATCTATATAAACCATTTATACATCTATGTGTATCTATCATAGTTGATGGATAGACCCAATATTCAGAAACCATCCCATTCATCGACCATAAAAGGGGCAAACTTTGGGCAAAACATAGCAAATGGGGATATACCCAATAATCAATGGGAATTTCAGGATCCTAAAATGGAGGTACTGTACCATATATGACCATATTTTGTGGGGATATTCCCTTACATAGGCCTTATATAACCTGGTTGGTGGTTTCAAACATTTTTTATTTTCCATTTCACATATGGGATGCATAATCCTTCCCATTGACGAAGTCCATCATTTTTCAAGATGGTTTTTCAACCACCAACCAGCAATACTAAGCCTCAATTGAATTATTGCGTTTGCCTCATAACGGGGATATAAACACCAACAACCATTGGGGTGTCATGAGGAAATGGTAACCACTAAAAAGATAAAACATACTAATTATACGTACATTGGATATTACAGTTCTACCTCTTTGGGTGTTGTTCTATTATTCGGAATATTACATGAGGAGTAACAGGGAATTATTTTGTCAATGTGTTTCATGGGAACGGTAACTGCTTTGGGGTAACTCCCCATATGACTAGTGGCTTTTGAATCCGGGGTAGACCTGAAAATACTAAAGCTGGGGATTGAGCCCATGAAAGTGGCTGGTAAGTTGTAGGTTATATATGGTTATATTTTGCAACTGTATTGAGTAACTTTGACCAAGGAATATGTCCTCTTCTGGCAAACCAAAGTATTCTGGTTGGTGGTTTCAAACATTTTTTATTTTCCATAATATATGGGATAATCCTTCCCATTGACTAATATTTTTCAAGATGGTTAAACCACCAACCAGTATTTTGTTGTGTGGGTTATCCAATGTTGAGCATGTTTTGTGGCCGCATCCCTAGGTGTTTTGTACGAAAGGAAATCCTTGCCGATGTACTGCAACCATGCCCGCAATACAGATGATCCACACATAGTTCTGGGTAAATTATAACGACGTCACTGCGACCGAGCCCTGGAATAATGGTTAGTAAGGGGAACCATCCCCAAGATAGCCTTATTTCAGGTTAGTGAATTATTATAATTTGCCCAGATAGTTACATTCATTTTTAAATGTATAATTATTCTTATCTGTTGCATCTCCTAAATGTCACATGGAAGCTGAACAATGAGATCTCGATCGTGATTCGACTACTGAAGATGGCCCTTGTTCGCTTCCATGCTTTTTTCAGGGGAGCATCCCAACTATCATGTAACGACAAAATGCGGCCCACAGGGGCCCAAATCCGGTTATTTCCACCATAGATCATGCAGCAATACATGGCACCGGAAGGGCCCCCCAGATATGTGCGTTGCTTTGGAACTCCATCCTACTATATATATATATATACCCTCTGGTGAACTAACATAGCAATGGAAAATGGCTATTTATAGTGGATTTTCCCATTAAGAATGGTGATTTTCCATTGCTATGTTAGTTCACCAGAGGGTAATTATCATGATACATCATATATCCATCATGAATTCTGTTGTTAGCCAAGTTGTACACCAAGCTCGCTATCTCTTAGCCCCTTCCCGCAACACCTATAGTTGATTTTAAGACAATTACATTGACCTAATTAATAACCATGCTTAGCAAGTGAAACCTCTCACCAGTAACTTGAACTTCATTGCCAGCTCATGGGTCTCAAAGTTACCCTTGTTGTACTTTCCAGCACCGAAGAAGCACTTCCAGCAACGTAAAAGATCCGGAGATGGGTCAAAAATTAAGCCTTATGAATGGTAAAAATATTTTAGTATATGTTTAATATTAATTTCCATCTATATACTTATTGGGGTACCGAATTTGGACCAACACAACAATCTGTCTCTTGCCAGCCTCGAATCACGAATACAACTACTATGGCCTCAACACCTACAGCGGACGTTATGTGTGGCTCGGTTTGCCAGCACATGTAAGAACTTAGAGGAGATGGAGAAGGGTGTGAAATGTGATACAAAAGGAAGAACATGATACAAAAATTCAAGATCAAATTGAAACTGATTGGTCATTATGGATCATTATGGGGGGTTGTTATACTACTTGGGTTATTGGGGATATTATAACCCATGGGCCCATGGGAGGAAAACCTATCAACCAACTAGAATTTCATGAAATGGGATAGGAGTATTTTTCATGGCTCATATCCAGGCCAACATATGGATGACTCAAATATTTCCTGGATTTCCAAACATCCTCAGAAGGTGATTTTGCTTTGAAGGAGTTCAAACAAATACATATACATAATATATATAATTATATATATACATATACTTTTCTCAGAAGGTGTCTGGAAGACTATAGAGTCTTTTTTGGTATTTTTCAGATCATAGAGACTGGTGCCTTCCGCGGAGTTCGCCCGGACTCCCATGGGATGAACGCCTGAGGGAAGCGGTTCACAACCACTCGTGGTCGCCAAAGCAAAGCTTTTGGAAGCGCCTTGGGATGCCGAGGGGATGGGAATTGCGAGTCGAAAGTCGGCTTGTTTTTAAACTAAGGGATAGCCGGAAATCAACAATTGGGGAAAATATGGCCCATTTAGATTTAGATATATTTAGATGATTTAACATGATTTAAGTAATGATTTAAGTAAACAATCCCCAAAAAATGGTGCTTTTCTATAGCGAACTGTGGAATTACCGGAAAGTCTACCTCAAGATCTCATTCCAGGGAATTGGAGGTGGCCCCCTAAAATAGTGGCAAACATGTAGCATCCAAATCTTCCTGTTGTATCATTCTATACTAAGATAGTGGTTTAACATGTTACATGTTCCTTTTCGATGATTTTTTTTTGTCGGTCAGGGAAAACGACAATCCGCAAACGACCCCAAACCCGCTGTGAAAAAAACGTCCGGTGTAGGGATGATGAACCCATTGGCTTCCCCTTCATCCATGCGTGGCTCTACAAAGTGCCCCAGGACGGCCGGCCAGATGTCGGTGGTGGTGGTTTTAAAAAAGCCGTGGACCGTGGTGAAAAATAGCGGAAATGCCCCTTTTACAGATCTTTGAGATGTTGTTTATCATTGAAACCTCCATTTATAGAGGATTTTCCAGCAAGGCTTCAAGCAATGTTTGACTACCGGGTTGTATGTATGTTTCAATTGAACAGAAAACATAAGAGAAACATAGATCCTTGTTATTCAGATGGATCTGGCAGCCTCCGGACCAGTGAATGAACAATGGCAACACATCCGCAGACATGGCGAGTTTTGGTCAACGATTTTCAGCTTTTATTCTGTTCTATTTGTTCTGAACCATCATCATTGTTGTTTATATGTGTTGATATCATACCATATTGTAATGTTTTTTGCATAACTGTACGAAGTGTTCTGTATGATTGCTGGTCAACTTCACATTAGTTGTGGGTAAGATTGTTGGAAAAGTGCACAGTTTCCTTTGTTCCTAGGTTGCATTCCTATCGTTGTTTGGATCATCTGGTGAAAACCATATGTTTGATAGTTGCATCCCAGTTTTGGAGAATTTTGGTTGGTTAATCACATTAAATCCATATTATGGCTGGTTAAAAATCATTATTTCTGGTGGTAAAATCATTTTTTTCTGGGTTAAATCGCCATTTGTCAGGAGATTCTGCTGCACCTGAGATGGGTCCCTTGCAACGAACTGGCTCTGGGCAGCCGTCGGTCATAGGTATTTTACCATCCAAAGTGGGGGTATAAAAAACACAACTTTGGATTCACTTGGTTTTAATGAACAAAAAAACGATGTTTGAACATGAACAAATAGGGGATTGAACACTTGTTGTTAATCAGGGAATTTGGTATTTGGCCCCAACAGCTTGGGAGATACGACTAGCAGATTGTATTCATGTGTGGATATATCCAGCATCCAATCATTGGCCATAAACCAACTTACCTAACGTTTGGTGGCTCCTTCTTGTAAGCAATGGCTGTGTAAAAGCAATAAGCCATGGAGTAGATGGAATGTCTTTGGACATAATCTGATCTTTTGTGGGTGTTTTGGAACATGTTTTATGACTTTCCCATCATATTGGGAAGGTCATAATCCCAACTGACGAAGTCCATCATTTTTCAGAGGGCTGGCTCAACCACCAAGCAGTGATACCAAGAGGGATGTCCTTGGAGATTGTGAAGGTCCAAGATGGGGATGATCCCCTGACCCTACGAATCAGTTTAGAGACCGGGTTGAGGTAAGATGAGATGCTGGTAAAATGAGAAGCTCCAGCAAATTTATGGAAATTCTATGGAATTGTAAGGCTGTATAGCTATTGAATGCTATTGACATATTGAGTCAAATTGCAAGAACTGATAAGTCACTCTAATGACTGTTTGAGAATTTGATGGAGACAATTACATGGTGTCATTCCAGAACTGTAAAGTCAACCAACTTCAATCGTCCCAGTAGATTTGACTTCATAAATCCCTGCAGAGCCAATTACCTTCTGAGTGCGTTGTGCCATGCTTTGTGGGGTTAAGTAGCTCTGTACAATGTTTTCCCCTCCCAGTTCTACTCTACTTTTTGTCAATAGACATCAATAAACCCTATAATATATATATATATATATGTATGTATAATATATACATATATATATGTATAATATATATATATATAATATATAATATAATATATAATATATATATAATAGTATATAATATCTCCACCCGAAAATACCATAAACCAACTTGCCATGTTATTTTCACCAACTGTAATGAAGTCCTTTGGAGGCTGCCCCGGACCAATCGGCAGGTGAATGATCGATATCATCCCCCTGGCATCATCATCACAGAGAACGGCTGTGCAGATCCGGGAAACACCGAGTACGCAGCCTGGCGTAACCCCACGAAACGGCGTTGAGAAACGGCCATGGGTTGATATATGGAAGATATCTAGAGTTAATATAGGTAAATCAACCCCCAAAAACTTCCTAAGAAGGTACTTGGATCCATAGGGTAGTTGATATATATATATATTAATCAATTTTCGTTTTATAATATTTAGTTAATATAGGTTAATATAGTTAGTATAGTGTTTCACTACATATCATATTTATTGATAGTTTTAGTTCTAGTTATATAATATATGGCTTGTTTTCTAAGCCATGGGGCAACCCAATTAGCTGGATGGTTGATTTTTTTCATGGAAAATCCCATACCTCGAAATGGATGATGACTGTGGGTACCCCTATGACTTCGGAAACCTCCATATGTACTGTACTTCCATAATATGGGACATGGGAAATTATATGACTTTTGATCATATATAAGGGTCTAAGAGTCACCTGCCCAGTCAGATCACGCGGTCCATTGGTTTTCCTCCGATTTCCATGATACAAGGGAGCTTGCCGCGGATGGTGCAGTGGGATTTGTGGGGAGCAGATGGCATCAATCTTTAAAGCAACCTTATCTTAATACACATTGAATTTGTTTCACATTCCAACAGCTTTATCTTAGTAAATACCCTCTGGTAAAATAACATATAACTATGGAAAATCACCATTTTTAATGGGTAAACCCACTATAAATGGCCATTTTCAATAGCTATGTTAGTTTACCAGAGGGTAATGACCACATTTCTCCATTTGAATTCTGTGACTGCTGCCGCACTTGGCGTCTTGGCACTGCCGCCTGTGGATGGAGTTTCAAAAGGGGACTGCGCAAGCAGAGCGCGCATCCCGCACTTGCCCCAAGGGGAAGAGCTGCAGGTGGTTAACAAAGTGGTTATGGGTCAAAACCCTGGTACTCTCTGGTACCCTAAAATAGCTGGTTGATAGATGGTGATTCCCTATATGGTCAGAATATATAGGTTTTGACCCATCCCCAAGTGAATTTTCTCGCCATATTCCCTGACCCAGATTGCTTTTATATGATTATGTGTATGTACATAGATAGCAACCCTTTTTTCAAGGACAGAAAGCTTAGTAGCAGTAAGTGAAACCTGTTGTGAACTTTGGAGGCGCTACTTAAGCTACCATTTACAAGATAATGCAGTTGGGGCTATGTCCAAGTGACGTGCCACGTGCCACTTTCCAGATGATCTCTGTAGGCTATGGCTGCCATGTAGCTATAGATATGTTTACCCAGTCTACCATACAAAAATCCAAAAAAAGTTACGTAACCTCTACAGGGGGAACTAGTGACTTTTGGCACACAAAAAATTGGATCATGGTAAAAGGGGGAACTACAAATGTGAGTGGCCAGGCACATTTTTCATGGATAAAGGGGTCTCCGACATATTGTCCAAGGTGGCGCGGCAGTTCGAAAACCCTCAATTGCTTTTGTTCATTAGAAGAAATTCAGTAGAGATTATGCATGCTGATGGTAATACACATTATATATATAATATATACATATATATACCAAACTATTGATGAGGCTTATGCATCAAAAAAAGTTTTTTTCCCCCCTAATTTAAGATTGATTAAACCAATTAACTTGAGATGCCTACCATAACTAATCCCTATATCGTTTCATTCGTTGCACACCAAGGAATACACCGTGGATGACTGGCACAGGGTGGGGTTGCTTGACGCAACGAATTTCCCACGTTTAGATGCCCGAAAGAAGTGGAGGTTTTTTGGGGATCAATATGACCCAATGATATATATATATATATTATATAATATACATATATCTGGTTGGTGGTTTGGAACATTTTTTTTATTTTCCCCAATAGTTGGGATGATAATCCCATCTGACGAACTCCATCATTTTTCAGGGGGTGGCTCAACCACCAATTAGATGTATTATATCCCCAAGATCCCCAAGATGTTTTGTCCAAACATTGATGGATACCATTGGCTAGCCCAATTTTAGGGCACTGTTCATGGGAAAAGAATGACAATTAGATCCATATGATCTTGGGGATACCATGGGATACCTGTAGTTTTGACAGGGACCTGTTTCCTCTAACCGAATAAAAAGGCTAAAAGGGCTGGTGAATTTTGTCCCTTTCGATGCATTAATTTTACGAGTCAACGAGTGGAACCATCAGCACGTCAGAAAATTGCGAATTCGCTCATCACGGCGAACATGTTCTGCATTTCTTTGACTTGGTGGTCCCACATATTCCATTTCCATGTGGATAGATTGCTTACGTGAAACCAACGTGAAACCAAATACCTTCTGGTAAACTAACATAACTATGGAAAATCACAATTTTTTTATGGGAAAACTCACTATAAATGGCCATTTTCAATAGCTATTTTGACATAACCAGAGGGTAAATGATGATGACTGGTATGTCAAAAGGTGATCATATAGTTTCTACTGGTAGCTATCAATTAAGGCCTGTAGTTTCCCTGTTCTTCTGCATGGATCAGATGTTTTTTGTTTCGCATTTGAACCGCGCCTTGTGTTGGCCAACTTCGCAGTGGATCAACAAAAATCAACTTAAATCATCTCAAATCATCATCTTCATCTTCAAGAAGGTCTATGGGCCTCAACTTAAGACCACTATATTCACAGGTTGATCAACATCAATTGATATTGTCATGGGGATCCAAGCACTCCCCAAAATGGCAAGTTCTGTTAGAACTTCGGGGAGGATGGTTGAATCCTCATGTTGGCAATGGTAGTATCCTATATTAATGGATGTTCATTAGGGTTTACATGGGCTTACGAATCCCATGGGATCCGAATCAGTCCAACATGTTTCTTTGTTGATTTCATCAAGCAGTAAGTACCAGTAAGTTGAGTAGTTATAAGTCCAACAACTTTGGGATTTTTGGTGGATATATCATGATATTTCATGAGATATCTACAAATTAGTGGGTTTATAAATCAACTAATAACTGTGGGGAGGGCCACTTTGTAGTGCAAGTACTGCAAGTAGAGCGACGGAGAACATGCACTACCAGAATCTTCAAACATGATGAAACTGTTGCCAAAACACATCCCATGTCAATCCATGCCATGTATATAGTATAATATAATATAATGTAATATAATATAATATAATGTAATGTAATATAATATATAATAATATAATATAATATAATATAATATAATATAATATAATATAATATAATGTAATGTAATATAATATAATATAATATAATGAAATATAATATAATATATTTAATATAATATACTATTATGTAATATATTATTATATTATATATATACACATAAGTTATCAGATATTGCCGCATTTTTATTAAATTTTACACTTATCGAACGTATTTACCAAGTGCCCACCTGACCGTGTTGCGATATCAATGTCTGTAAACATTTTATCTTTGCCACACATTTTCAGGCCGCCACCGCCTGAGGTTCTTCAGGGACTACTTAGCCAAAGTCGCTGAGGCGGTCTTCGAAGGAATTCCCGTCGTAGGTGCCATGGGACGATGAGGATGTTTTCCACGATTGAATCGGAGGGGTCGGCAACCAGCCAATATTGGGATGACCTGGGATACCAATCCATATGCCCAAACTGTTATGTCAACAGTTTGCGAACTGGAAAATGGCGCCATTTAGTTCGTTGATTTAGCCAACTTTTTCAAATGGGTGGATCTTTCCATAGTTTTTTGGATGTTTACCAGAGGGTATCATGTTTGACTATGGCACAGAATATGATTACGATAGATGTACCTTACACCGCCATTTTTGTGCTTCGAATTGTTCCAGTATTCAACTATATTCAACAAGACATTGGGTTTTAACAACTGAACGTGAATTCCTTTAGATTCACAACATTTCACAAGTGAGATCGAGATTTACCCTCTGGTAAACGTTTACATAACTATGGAAAATCACCATTTTTAATGGGAATATCCACTATTTCAATGGTCATTTTCAATAGCTACGTTAGTCATTACCAGAGGGTATTGTTGCTTCTAAAGGTTTTTACACTTTCTTTTTTTTGAATGAATCCCACGTTTGGTTGCTCGCAGCGAACATATCTTCGATGCACACTGAGTTGGGTTTTGTCTGGAACTCATTTTGGTTGTGAAAAAACCAGGGTTAGCTTGAAACATGTAACATATGTTACAATATGGCTTTGAAAAAGCATGTTACAAAAGCATATTTATAGATAAGTAAATTTCATTGTATTCGGGGGTCGTCTCTTTGCACTTGGGTCCCGGGCGATCCCATGGATGATCATGGATGCGTTGAACATCAAATCAAAACAAACATCAAAATGGATTGATGAGAAGCCTGTGGTACTCGCGCGGCCAGCTGCCGTTTCCTTTTTTGCTACCTTTTTCCAGTGACTCCAGCCCTCCAGCCTGCTGCATTGCCGAACAGAGGCCATCAATTCGTTCATGAGACAAACTTGGTGAAATCGAAAAACTTGTGAGAATGGAGTTGGACATGTTCACATTGGAGGCTTTGGTCTCCAAAACTTTCGCCTACCTAGCCTGCTTCTCAGAATGCTGGAATCATGGCCATAGGGGTGAGCTTTACACATCACCATACAAAGTCTCTCTCCGCAAGCTGTTTCCCATCTCAAACGAGAATGGAGATCAGTCAAAGAAATAGCACAAACTATGAATTGGAGAATTTCAGTTCAGTCAAAGAATGAAGCAATTTCAGTCACTGTTTTTGGATTTGTTATAGTATATGATTGACAAGCCTGCCTCACGTTGCGCCAAGACCCTGGTAGTTTGTTGTTCAGACAATTAACCAGGTAAAGAACAGCGAGCAACCCTTCTAGACTTGAGTATGCAGCATGTGTGGGGATCCACTGTAAAGCAGATTCTGTTCCAGCTGCCACTGGGGTAAGAACAAGTACTTAATGTTTACAGCTGTTGGAAACTACTAGCTGTTGTGAAATATTAGCTGCTACCAAGCGGGTAAAGGTAGATTGGTAAAGTGCTAACGTTAAAAGGGACATTCCGCCAAACCTGGCTTTGAGTTAGCATAGGGAAGCTGATTTCGTTTGTTTTTTCATTTTTTTAATCTTCATTTTGATTCTCTTTGGTACTTTGGTCCAACCAGACTTTTTTGACAGCTTTAAACTGTTGATTGGATTGGTTCTTTCCTTTTCCTATTTTCTATTTATTTCATTTTTCTTTTCGTGTCTCATATATTCTCATATCTTTTTCCGTTCTTCAGTCGCATGTGTAGTTGTTGTTTGGTTCTTACACGAAATCGATGGCTGACGTGCATGGTTGGGAGGACTGCCCTTTTCCCTTCGGTTTGGCACACCAAACCTCACTTTGTTCACAGACTTGGCGCGCGAAAAAAGATCTATGCTAGCTAGACAACATCAGGTCGAACTGGCATTGCCTTGGGGAAACAGGTTTGGTGTTCATAGGTTGGTATTCCATGTACTTTGCTCTTTGCTGGAACTGGTTCTGCTTCATTCTCAGGAAACTTTTTGGGAAAATGCATTTTGATACGTGCAGCAGGCCCTGCTTCTTCATGTTTGAAACTGTCCTTCATCTCTGATCTCTTGAACTGTGCAACGGCATGCGCCACCACTAAGTGAAACTGAAAATTGGTGAGCTCAAGAATCTAGTCATTTTGTCGTAATATTTCTTGAGCTTTGTGTGCTGTCTTTGCGCGCTATACACTGGTCCTTGCGCATTCTGTTTGCGTAATATCTATCGTTGCGTACTATCTTACTTTAATCTTTGCGTAATATTTCTTGAGCTTTGTGTGCTGTCTTTGCGCGCTATACACTGGTCCTTGCGCATTCTGTTTGCGTAATATCTATCGTTGCGTATTATCTTACTTTAATCTTTGCGTAATATTTCTTGAGCTTTGTGTGCTGTCTTTGCGCGCTATACACTGGTCCTTGCGCATTATGTTTGCGTAATATCTGTATTTTAAATCTTTGCCTGCGCATATATATCAGCGTAATATCTGCATTGTATCGTTGCGCATTACCATGACGCGTATTTTTGTGCAAAATCTTCACCTGAGCTTATACTGGCGCAATATCTGCACTGTATTCTTGCGCATATTACTGCGCAATATGCGTTGCGACTATGCTTTGCGAAATATATGCACCCGAAGCGGCGCCGGCGTTCCGAAGCGGCGCCGGTTGTGGGAAGCGGCGCCGGCGGTGGGAAGCGGCGCCGGCGGCGGGAAGCGGCGCCGGCGGTGTGAAGCGGCGCCGTTCAACTGAATTGCAAGGACGGGACTTCAAGTTTTGATTGAGGAAGTTCAAAAAAATGTGTTAGGACATCCCTTTTTCAGCAATCTTTTTTGAATTAGTCCAAGTCGAAAGAGAAACCAAGGCCAACCAGTCTGTGCTCACATCTAGCCAAGTGCAAGCCGTTGTTGATATCAAAATTGTTCTGTGGTTTTTTGGGCTGCCAGCTGCCATTGCTGTTGCTTCAGGTTCAGGAAGGTTGCTTTGGCCATGTGCATTTTGAAAAACAACAACAATGCTGCCTGCATATTGCTGTTTGAACCTGTCCTTGGTCATTTTTGATGTCCAACTTCTTGGAACCGTGCAAAAAAGAATTGAAAAACACCTCTAATCAGAAACTCATCTCTAAAATGGATGATGTAACCCAATCCTCCAGATAAACAGGCTTAAGAAAGAGAAACGTATTCATTGGCAGCTGGTACTCCTAGAAGATTGGGCTGGTGGATGAAGAATGGTAGGTTTATTGATGTTTTCTTAAGAAGAGACCATGAGCCAAGTAGCAGACCCACGACAATGTGAAAAGCAACCTTGCTTCTGCTTCGCCATGTCAGAGCGGCGGAAAACCTTTATTAGGTCTTTGGCTCCTGCTGAACCAGCGCCTAAAAGGCCCAAGCTGGCGACAGTGGTTGCCTCCCGTGATGAACATGCAGATGCAGAAGCTTCTTCGTCGAGTAGCTCAGCTCTTGTTTCCCAGATGGTGGGTGCAAAAGTTTCCGTTTCTGCTAGCTCAGCTCCTCTTTCAAGAAGGAAGATGTTTATCTCCATGTTGAACAAGGAAAAAAATGTTGAGCCCAAAGGCGAATCAGATTCGGAGCCAGAAGCTTTGCAGAAGCCTGCGAAAGACGCCGGCGCTGTGAGGTTTACCTTGGAAGGTTTGCAAGCTTTCCGCAGCACTGCAACTGGGATTGTGTCAGGCAAAACAGCTGCTGAAGCTAGGCCTGCGAGAAGAAGACGTCCGAATTACAATAGCAGCAAGAGAAGGTTGTTGGCACACATGCCGGAAAGAACCAAGTTTCTAGCCATGGTTTAGTTTAGAATCGCTTTTCCGCATCTCTTTATTGTGCGGGCATTTCGCAATGCTTCGGCCCCATGATCTTTTCCTATCCAGTCCAGGTTTGGCTCGCATGGTGCAAGTGCGTCTCGCTTGGACGGTTTGGCAGCTGCTTCGTGTAGGTGCCATCGGGGCAACTGCTTTGACAAGATTCCTGCCATGAAAGAGAAGCTGCTTCAGTTCTTGAAGCTCCTGTGGGGCCTGGCCAAGCACGTGCAGGATGAATATCTTCGGGTCACTGTGATGGCAGAAGATGGAGCGCCACGCAAGACTTGCTTTTTGCTTGGCGAGGTCTTTGGAGCAAAGTGCTGCCGAGCAGTTCTTGGCATTGGGAATTCCAGGCTGGCCAGGATTGGTGCTGGCAGGTTTGATCGCAGATTTGCTGTTTGGGGAGTGGCGCCTTGATCAGAGCAAGACCTGTATCATTTTCATTTTCCCCCAAATGATGTTTCCAGTTCTGCTTGTGTCACTTTGTTTCATATCAAACTCGTGGTGTGAGAACATCAGCGCTGGTTCATTTGTTGAGGCGACCAAGAAAGCTCCAGTGAAAACACGTTTGGTGAACCAGTTCCTCCTGTCGATTTACATCAAGAATGGAGGGATGTTGCCAGATAAGAGCCTCAGCACAATCAGCCTGACCACCATATCATGTGGGTTGCCTGCTTGGCCCAAGGTTTGCCAGAGGAGGTCGACCTCGAAAGATGCGTCCAGAGAAGCTGACAGTTGTGATGGAAGCTCATGGAGCCCAGCAATCCGAAGATGATTGTATCCTGGATTCATCAACTGCAGTATGGACTTGTTTTTTCGAGTCAAAGTGCTGTAGCAGTGCCTGAGGTAACTCCAGCGTCGATGGTGAGGATGACTGCCTCCATGCCCGTGCTGAAAGCTTGGAGGAAGATCAGGAGCTCAAAATGCACTTGCTAGGCCAGAACTCTATGTTCACCATGTCCTGGGCCTAGCTTTGCAGTTCAATCACAACTGTGATCAATGTCTCATAGATCCACCAAAAAGACCTTGGCATGTCATTGAATGCCTGTGCTCTGAGAATAAATCTTTAATTTGTGCTTGCCTTCTGCAGCAGCACGCCCAGGTCAGCAGAAACAAACTTCGCCAAGACGATCAAATCCCTTCCGACCAGATACCTGGCTCCCGGAAACCTGCGGATGCTCTATGAGCAGTGGGGCAGACATGATGTATCGTGTTTTGGCCGAACGCCGGTGTTTCTTCTTTTTCTTGTCGCATTCCTCCGCCGTATGTAGCAAGTCACACTACTGGATAGCTGTATGGAACTGTTTGAGTATCTATGTGTGCCTCGAAGACATGGCTCTCAAGGTACCAGCAATTTTGGCGTACCTATGACTCCACTTGGAGGCCGGTGCTGAAGTTCTTGGCGCCAACAACACATGGAACATGTGATGATTGCTGTGAATACAAAGACCTGTTCAGAACCACTTTGGTGCCTTGGCAGACACTGAGCGCCTTGAGTTTCAGCTGTCTGCCATCTGATGTTGGGCTACCATCTGCCTACAAGGTACGAGACCAGCAGGCACGCTTCGATGTGGCTAGGGCCTACAAGGAGCACCTGAACCAGATTGCTGAAGACAGGAGTTTGGAAAGCTTCCTTCAGGCCCACTCAACTGCATGATTTTCAAAAGAAAAGGTTTTGGTTTGAAAGGAGCTGGCAATCAAAGGCATCTGCATGGAAATAAAATCCCGGTGCTCCCAGCAGACTGCTGCAAGGCCCAAGACCCACTGAATCACCCTGTGGCTTGCCTGGCTATACACGTTGTGGCTGGGCTTCATCCAGCTGAATGGGCGGGCGGGACAAGCAGGGGATGCTGTCGTTGCAGCATGTGATATTTCTTGATGGTGGCAGGTTTGTTCCAGCCAAGGATGGGATGGACCAGGCCAAGTGGTCGGTCCCGAGAGGAAGACAGAACCGCCTGACCAAATCAGAAATGCCGTTGGTGAAACCTCGATTTAAAATCGAGGGGTGCTGGATTCTTGGGTTGCATTTGGGTCGAAACAAAATTTCGCAAGGCTCACATGCAGCTGAAATTTCTCATTCTGCTTCCCTAGGATCCACAACACGGTTTTATACTTGTGGGTGTTATCACCAAGAGTGGCCGGCGATGCATCGATGGTGATCGAGACCACCATGCGCACCATCGAATTTGCCATGGACATGTTCAAGGAGCGTGGCGTTGCCAGTCCACAGGAGCTTCTCCTGTGGGTTTCTTGTTGGAGGATTGGTTGGGCTGGCTGGGCATGTTGGAAACATCTATATTCTTCAACTCAAACTTGATTATAGCTTGACTGCTCAGCTGGCAGAATGCCCCGAGCGGCCAAGGCTGACAATTGTGTGAGAGAGACGAAGAATCAGTGGTGCTTGAAAATGGGCTGCTACCTTCTGGCAAGAGGGAAGTTTGACCTGGTCAGCTATCTCTTCGGAAGAGTTGGCCACACACATGGCACTTTAGGTGTCTGGGCGCAAGCTTTGCCACTCTTGGTGATAAAACCAAATCATCCATTATTTTATGGGTGGTATGTTGTCAGGTGTTCAAACCAGAATCAACTCTTGGGTGCCTCAATTTGCGCCTGCTGTTTGTTTTTCAAACCCAGCTGTATTTCACCTTTGCTTGGGCACCTAAGACCAACTATTTGGATTGATAGCTACTGGCATGAAGTACATCGACATCTTGTGTGATGAAGTGGACCTGGTTGAGTGACTTGGCTTGCCCGAGTTTCATGCAAGATGTTGCTTATTTCAATGCCGTGGGTAAACCGGCACCACGGCAGGTCAGGTTCCAACATAATCAGCCCACAATCTGGAGAATCATGGGTTTGTCAGGTTTTGGCAGTCAGGCCTGACTTGTGTTTCCATATGCCTCAGGAAGCTCACCTGGCTGATGAACAAGATCGGCATTCGATCTTGGATCGGACCGAATTGTGAAGTGAAAGTTTCTTACCTCGATTCCATCCGAGATTGGCGATCAATGCTGGAGCCGGCCCCGGTGACCTTCAGCGGCGGGCTGAAGGAGGATGCCTCAGGCCTCCACTGCTTCTTGATGATGAGACGTCAAGGCATGGTTGGACCCGTATCAGTTTGACATGTTCTGTTTCATTTGATGAGTCATGTATATTGGCATCAAATGCAGGTTGAATTTGACAGATGATTAAGGTCTTGAGCATTCTTGGCCCAGTAACAAAAAATATTGTGAAACTTGTCAAAACTATTTACAATTTCTCTTGCTACTGCACTGGGTTGTTCATGCAGCCACTGAAGCAGGCTTGTCATTGACCTTTTAGTTTCAATCCAATTGATCTAACATCAAATGCATGTGCAGTGGTTTCCTGAATCATCATGCCTGAAGTGGCGCTGCAGATATCCCTCGAAATGTGACGGTGGTTGCAGAGGGTCGAGGTGCTGCCTTCGAAGCACATCCGTTCGACATTGTCATGATGCTCAAACGGTTCGCCTCCGATGAGATGCTGATCCAGGCTGGGAACTCCAATGCTTGGTCAAGTTGCTTCATACACTGGAGAGGCATCTGACAGCCATTTGTTTTTTTTTCTTTTGGCAGGAGCCTGTTCTGTGCTGGCCATACCGGTACATGCGTGTCATTGGGCCGATTCCTACTGAAGCACGGCCGCTGAGAGTGGTGAAGGCAGCGAAGAAGTCTGACTACCTTGCTTTGAGCCAGCTGCTCATTGCAAAGGCTCCGACGGAATCCTCAGCACGCAGTGTGACATTTCTTGTTCCTTGCCAGCATTGGTGATCATCAGCTGAATGGCAGGTAACTGCCTAAGCCACATTGCAACCTTCTGTCTTCCACCTGCCAGTTTGTGGCCCCTTTCCTACACACAAGCACACACACATACTTGATAGACCGCATGTCGTCAGGGTTTATGTAAAGATCCGTCAGATCCGTGGTATTTTTGTCGGAAACCGACAGTCCCATAAATTCCCAGAAAGGTTGTATGCAGCCAAATCGTCAGCAAGGGTGGTTTTTGGCTTTGCCACATGGCCATACGGATTAGATACTGGAAAACATTGTGATGAGCCAGAATAGGTACGTCACTGGGCGTCTCCAGTGATATGCTCAGGACACTGTATGTTGTAAGTGGAGCTCTACAGGCTTGCTCCATTCCTCCATTCGGAACGAAAATCGCGGAAAACCTCGAAACAGGGGTGACACACACACACACATACACACACACACCCACCCACCCCTTTGCCGCCGAAAATGATTGATTTGGATGTGGCTGGGAACTTCGGCTTTCAGGTGAAACTGTGTGACAATACTCTCCGACCAGCTGCTCCGCTGAGACTGAAATGGCTGGAAGAGGATTGGCCTGGGGGTGGATTGAGTGTTCAGGCCCCAATTGGTAACGTCCAGGTTTGAGCACAGCACTGAGGATTGTTTGTTGGGAACATGTTTGTATGCAAACTGGCGGTGTCAATGATGCCAGGTGGGGGACATGCCTGGCATCAACACCAACTTGCCACCATCTTTGCGCCGACTTGCTCCAGTGATGCTTTTCACTGCGAAGATGAGGGGATGAGACAGAAGATGTGACATTTGCAAAAAGGTGGAAGCGAAAGACCAAACCCAGAGATACCACTTGGTGAAGAGAAACCATGCCCATGCAGTTTTTGATGTTTTGGAGAATGTTGCCGGAAGAGCCTCTTTTTCTTTTTTTGGATGCAGCTGTTTTGCACCCGGGCACCGTGAATGTTTAGTTGTAGATAGCCCTCACGCTTTTTAGCTGGGCTGGAATGAACAAAAGGATTGCAGTTGAAGGCCGGGCTTGTCAGAGTCTTCGACAAGGTGTCCATGCATAACACATGTGATGAAAAGGAACGGTTTGTGAACATGAACAGAGCTAACCAGCCCAGTAAATGATTAGAATCACTTCAGTCATCCAGCACAGTTCTTGTGCCCCATTGCCGGCTCATTGGTCAGGTGTTAGTGGCCTGGATGCTTCAGCACTGAAAAGGGTCCAGCGCCCAGAGCCAGCCGGCGTGAAAGTTCATATTATAAGAATTTGGGATACCAGCCACCGAGGACTAAATGTTTATGGATCATAATATATACTTTCCCAATGGCCTCACAAATGTATGCTACAGTGGCGGGTGGACTGACAAAGTTTTGTCACAACACAAGTAATGTTATGTTGTTTCATTTTTCGATTCCAAGTCAAACCTTAGATAGTAACAATCACTTTACATCTATAAGAACCCTCAACAAACAACTATATAAATTGGAGTGTTTGGATGGTGGATGCCAACCTAGTGATGCTGCCCACTGGCCTGAGACAATTTTCTTCAGGCCAAAAGTTCTTTGGATTTGGTGATCGACCTTGCCGTGTGCTCAGCATTTCCTTTCTCAAGTATTGAGCATTGTTTGGTACTTTGTGTTGGCTAAAGGACAAAGCAGAGGTGGCTGCAAGTGAGGCAGGCTTGCAATGGTTCAAATGTTTGAGATACACGTTTTGATATTATCAATATGTTGTGATGTTTAGAAGTTTAAGGTAGATGGCAACTAAGGCATCATTCATGAACCTGCCTTGTGTAGGCCACAGGTTCCTTGAAAACCACCACATCCGAGCTTGAGGACCTTTGGAAAATACCTTAATTAGAACCACGAAAGTGTTTGCGCCCTTCAGGACACGTCGTGTGCCCATGGAGGCACAAGTGCCACTGTCTCAGTGGCATGTTTGGCATTTGTGTGTTTTTCATCAATGTTTCTGAACCACAACCAGCTCCCAGCGTTCCAACTTGTATCCTTTGAGGTTGGAAAACCAAGTATAAAAAATAAATAGCACGCATGCCTTCCATTTCATACACTTGCAATGCAACAGCATTTGCCACCACAATGACTTCGTCTTTGCCACTGAGCTTCAAGGACCGCTGCAAAGGGGAAACAAGGGTTTGGAGAAATCAACATCTTGAAGAAATCAACATGTTTTCGCACTTCTTGAAGAAATCAACATCTTTGCCATAGTCATTTAACCTCTGAAAAGATACAAGTCTACTACTTATTTGTCATGTCGGCTGGTCAGCGGCGATCTATCCTTGAGGACCGTAGGCATGCTATACCCAACAAGTCCTTGCTGGAAGCCGGGCACTCAGTGGCTGCTTTGAACCAACAGATTTGCAAACCTCGGGCACCACAAAACTTGTTTCAGTGGCCCATCAGAACTTATAGCCTATAGTTATGAAAATCAGTGACAGCAAGCAAGCTCAAAAAAAAACAGCACCAGATTTATTGACAGTGATTGACAGTGGTGATCAAATGATTTGCGTCGATTGTGTTTTACGCCTGTCCCGCTGTCAACTCTGAGACTATGTTTCTTTCTCAGAAATGCCGCATGGTTTTCATACTGTCGAAAAATAATAGCAAGACTTCATAATCATGAATGATCTTGCTGTCAGATGTGTGCATTCAAGTCGAAATATGTTTCCATAGACAGGCTGTGTGGAATGTGGCCGCTGTGCTAAGGACACCGCATGGAAGAACTACCATGTGGCAGTGGCCATGCACCAATGCAGAGTGTAAAATCTTATACCTGAATGCAGCCCTTGAAGCCCTTCCTGTGATCTTCTTTGTGCCAGGCAGCCAAAGTTGGACCCATTCGAGAGGACCAGCCAGTTCATGTCCATGGCCGTGAGGGTCCTTGGAACCAACTTGGTGGCAGGACCCCATGGCACGTCCTTATGACCCAGACCTTGATGAAGACTCTCAGGCCATTGTTTGCTTCGAATCCAAAACACTCCCATTAAGATCGAAAGTTCAATGGAACAGTTTAGCACTTGAGCAATGTTGAACACCTACTAGTAGATTGACCTGGCACACTTGCAAAAACACCTCATGTTGTCAGTTCACGGAGCATGTGCGCTGGTCCAGAGAGGCTGGTCTTTGGTTCAGTGATCAGTCAAAAGTTTAGAAATACTAAAAATCTGAAATGTTCTTCTGTCGCAATCACCACTGTTTAGAATTGCCAGGCCGGCCCTGCCTTCGGAAGGGAATTGCCTGCAATCTTTGAGAGACAGAAAGCAGAGGATGATAGACTTTTTCACGGCTTAGAATCTCCATAGATGAGATGCTGATATACTTTAATTTGCTTCAACCAAGTGTGCTTTCCACACTTCAGGTTTAGATCTACGATTCCTGGGTCTTGAAATCGAAAAAAATGATGAAGCTTGATGCATCTTCCGTCGGATTGCTGATTCAAGTGTTTGAGTCAACAAGTTTTCAAATTGCACTGATGCTCAATGTAGTCCTTGAGTATGTTGTTGGGATGCTGCCACAAAAAACAAACATGCGGAGTGTCGACAGGGTGGCTGGCTCAAATTCAAATCTGATGATTGCAGCATGGCCAAAAAGACTTTGAGAGTCTGTGATGGTGTTGCAGCCGTGCTGCAAAGTTCAAGGCCAGCCGGCCAGTTGATCAATCTCTGTCAAGTTCAAGATGTTCAAGCAGAAACCTTGCACGACCATGCAGGCAAATCAAGGCGGCAGAGCCCAAGAAGAAAACGTTCCCAGGATATAACCGGTGGGAAACTTAGAGCAGGTATGAAGCTGTACCTGTCACTCCTGTTTTCCAAATCCAAAACTAAGTGGAATCCAATATTTGGAATTGAAGGCCCAAGTCGGTTTTGAAGCTGCCTGAAAAGTTCCAAGCTCAGTGTTTGTAATTGGCAGTCATGTCAAGTTAAACTTATTCGTACTTGATCTTTTACACGGTTTGAAAATATATCCACATAACATGGATAATTTCCATCCACACTTCACTAGCAGAAACGTGGAACTAACCCCTCAAAATTTAAAGTCAATCTGCTTTGCCATGTTGATTTCTGGATCAGGACCTGTGGGCACCATGGATCTTCAAGAGTGCAAAGGCTTGCGCCCCAATGGCCAGGGGCATGGGATCCAAGTGCTGGAATTTATTGGGAGAGCTTCTCAACAAAATGGCCCCAAGCACCAGGGTCTTGGCTTACTGCTTGCCAGGGCACTTGCATCCCCCAAGAAGGACAAAGATGCAAAACAGCAGTGTGATCCTTAGATTGGCGTGGGAAGGTTCCATATCTTTTGGTGAAAATAGTGCATGATCTTTTCCCCATTCAAACTTGTCACAAACCTTAGAGAAACCAATCTTTGTTTACCGCAGGTCCACTCAACAGGGGTTCGTATCTGGGTCATTCGACTCCAATGCATGTGTAAAAGAGGCACAATTATGGAAATTATTCAGTTGTAACTTTCTAAATTTACATCACTCCAGGAATTGCGAAAAATGCTTCAAGACTCAGCTGATGCAAAATCTTAGGGTTGGTGATCTCACATTTATGATACAGTTGTTTGAGTATAGGAGTGCGAGCATGCTCTAAAGCTGTTTCTTTCACACAAGCATGCACCTATTTTAGGGCTTGTTTTCAAGGACAGCTGCCACTGTTGCCACTGTTCCCGAGAAGCTGTCCACATCAAAGCTGTGAACTCAGATATACTCAGATTTATTTTCAATGTTCTCAGAATCTGCCCACGACAAGAGACAGTCGTTGACACCGTCTAACACAGACAAACGAATGACTAGAAAAAACCTTAATGATGGAGCTTAAGATATTTATGATGGAGTTAATTTATATAACTCAAAGCTGAGCACAATAATCTTCAGAATAATAAGGATGTTGATGTTGTGATACAGATCAGTGTGCTGTTAAAAAATGCTGATAACGTAGTGATGATGGTGATGCTGCTGATGACGATGATGATGATGATGACGATAAGGATGATGAGGATGATGATGATGATGATGGTGATCATGATGGTTGATGGTTGATGTTGCTTGCTGCTGATGATGCTGATGCGGATGCTGCTGCTGCTGATGATGATGATGATGAAGATGGTGGTGATGATTATGGTGTGGGCGACGACAACGACGACGACAATGATGATGATGATGATTATGATGATGTTGATTTTGATGATGATGATGATCATGATGATGATGATGATGACGATGATGGAGATGATGATGATGATTATGATGATGTTGATTTTGATGATGATGATGATCATGATGATGATGATGATGATGATGACAATGATGATGATGATGATGATGATGATGCTGATGACGTTGGGAATAAACTTGTTGGATGATAACTTGTACTTTCAGGAGCACTTTGGAATCACCGCATGCCCAGGGTGTGGGGCATTTGAGACTGTGAGCATTGTTGTTTTCTCAAAAGTCTATCAGGAAAACAGCTTCCAGCCCTGCCAGTGCTGCTTTGACAAAGCATGCGCCCTAGTTAGTTCCAACACAATTTAACCCAACTGCAGTCACTGCCAAGCATCTTTGTCAGCCCACAGATACCGGCAGGGCAGCTGCTGGAGCAAAGGAGCTTTCCAAGCCCAGACCCTAGCAAGCAGGATGGAAACCGTCTGGCCATGTGCTATTTTTGAATGTTTGGAGTCATGATGAGTCATGCAAAGGAAAGCCAGATCAAAGAAGACCATTAAAAAGTGCAAAGCCCAGTTTGGTGTGTCAAACCTGCATTTTTGACATCTTTTGAGTCAATAAGAAAATGTCATGCCATAGAGCCATGCATCCGAACTGTCAATCAGTTGTCGAGGCGGCATTTCGACAAAAAAGGTACCACAACCACAGCTGCTAAGTTTGTTACCCAGACAAATTTGTTTTTAGCAATGTCATCTTGTTCAAAAACTAGGTGTTCTCTATGTTTTTTTTCCATTTCATCACTTTGGTGATCACCGACACACCTGCCCAGGCGCGCTCTTGAAGCACAGTGGCAGCCCAAGGTCCCAAGGCCAATGTATCCTGGAATCACCACTGGGACGTTTGAAGAGCAATGAGTCAGCAATGAGAACTTATTCTCCAAAACTGCAAGCCCGCTGGGAGGAAAGGGACTGTCTCGAAGAACGTTGAGTCTGCATCTTATCTTTTTCATGCTGGTTCAGTTTAGTTCGCTGATGTTTACTGTATTATGTGTCTCTCAACTTCCATCTTAGGTCATTCTACCCGAAAACGACAGTGCCCATGGCACTGGACTTTGACCCAGTTTTCTTTCGGTCAGTTGCAGACACCTACAAATGGGCATCGACTTTTGTGAATCGTGTTGCGCAAGTCCTTGGTCCCTCATGGGTTGCCCAGCGACTTTCCAAGTGGAAGTGGAACCTGTCAACAGCTTTCAGCGGGGTTAGCTGTGCTGAAATGGTCAGGATCCTAGAGCTTGCAGCATTTCATCTCACACTAAACCTGTACTTGTCAGTCTTGGAATGTTGATCCAGCATTTTTTGGTTCACTATGATTTATTGTCCAAGCAAAGCTTGTTCTGGAGGCATCTCTGGCCTTGCAGGCAGCTTTGCAGAAATTTGCCTGCAGCTCTCAGTCCCACGTGGTGACTACTTCAGCTTGTGAGATTGATAGGACATGCCAACAGGTGTTGATAGACACATACAGTGACGACCAGTGCATCTTCGCCGACGTCACGAAGATCGACATGAATCAGAAGGAGTGTTACTGTGAAAGGCATCGAAAAATGTGTCTGCTACAGCCCCATGCTGAAGACACTGATAGTACCTAGTCAAACACTGGTTAAATGATGGTCCAACACATCATTATGCTGTTGCCGGTGCTGAGAAGTAGTGGGTTGAAATTGAGTCCCCCGCCCAGGTATGGATGTCAACGTTGCAGGTGCCAACCTTAGGAAAAAACAGCAATCAGTACAGATCCAACATGCTTAACTTCTCAAATTGAAATTGAGCGAGGACCTGTTTGCGTCCATTACAGCATGATGGGTGATCGAACGAAGGAGAAGGGGGCCCAGCACAGGACCCACATTGCCTACTTCAAGAACTTGAGAGAGAGCAACGTCTCAATTGCAGTCATAGAAAATGTCACAGAGTATTCAGAAAGGTTGGTGAAGAAAGAGCTTGGAGTAGGTTGGGATCAAACCTCAGTGAAGCTGGATCCCCGCTGCTTTGGGATACCTTGCTCAAGGGCACGGATTTTCATCCTGTGCTGGCGTACTGACAGAGTGAGGTGGGTCTCTCCTTTCAACTTGAAAACCTTTGTCGGACTGTTAGTGGGGAGGGTAGTGATGAAAGCCCGGGATTACTTCTTCATGGACATCCCAAAAGTGAAGCTGACACCAAGTGCTGTTACCTGGCTGTTGAATGTCTGCAATTTGAGATATTGTGTATGGTTCACATGGTTCATCTTGTTTCCAAACCTGACTTCGGAAGATATAAACTTCTTCAGGCATCCAACTTGAAAGACTACAAGAAAGAAGGCAAGTACATGTTCCCAGACCTCAACCAGCTGTGCCGAAATGGGCGTGGAAGAGGAGAAACGCGAGACAATTGCTTACCCACACTGACGACAAACTCCGGAAAGATTTACTCACAGGCCAGTGTGCTACAGTCAGTGATTCCAGATATTCTAGCCTAGTTCAGATTTCAAGAAACATCAATTAATTTAATATTGTTCCACAATGTTACATGTGTTGATGCATCCATGTACCTGGTGCTTCCATCTAGGATCACGGCCGTTTTTTGCAGCCTCTGGAAGCCCTTTCTTCGCATGTCCTGCCAGTGAACGAGAAGATGGCTAAGGACAGCTCAACACCCATGTTGCAGCTTGGCAAAGCAAGCAACAGTGCCCAGACCCGCATGGCAGGTAATGCCATGTCAGTCCCTTGCATTGGCTCTGTCTTGCTGTGTGCAGCTTTGGGTCTTGAAAAGATCCCCAAAACGGCGGCATAGGCATATACAGACTAGATTTTTCTTGGTTCCCAAAAACCCATGAAATTCATTTTGCTTTCATTCAATTCGAAATTCATTGCAGCAACTGACTTGTAAGAAGCAAGTGTCAGAAGCAGCGGTGGAAGCTCAGCTGACCCGCAAGGGATTTAAAAAACAATTGAATTGCCTAGCATGTTGTGTGATTCGTTGTTTTACATTGTGTTGATGCAATGTGCCGTATCTCATCCAGAATCCATGTCTTGATGCTAGATGGATATCCTGGATGTGTTCCTGATATTCGTGCAGTGTGTGGTTGAAACAGCATGCACAACACGCCTCCATGATCAATTTTGGTGAACACAGAATCGGGAAAAACATGTGCATTTGGCATTCCTGAAAAAGGATAGCATATGACAGCATTGTGTGTACAATGTGGTACTGTGTGCACAGCTGCAACCGCACAGTCAGCGAACCTCGTTGACGTGCTTTTCCAGCCCATGTCGAAAAGATCCGGGCCTGACAAGAATAGTGGTGGCAAATGTGCACGCCACTCGAAGCCGTGGTGTGATGATTTTATGTTGAACTCCTTGGGGATTCTTGGTCTACATAGGGGAGCAGGGCTGCATTTTCCTGATTGCAACATATCTACCAGAAATTAGTTAATTGCTACCAGCTTTGGTATCCTATTGCAGCTTTGAATTACACAAGTTTCAGCTTGTTCATGTGCCTGCCCTAGGACCTTTGACATAGCGAAAGGAGAACACCCAGTAAAGTGGCTTTTGGAAACACCGTCCTTTGGGAATGGCATTTACGAAGCCTTGCTGCTGTGGTTCGATGAGCTTCTTCCTGGCCTGACCACACCAGCAGCATCTTGATTTGGATTGCTTTGTTGTGGCTTTTCTTGTTTCTCGAAAGTAGAAACTTGGTTCAACAAGTAAACACAAATTATGACCGGAGAATGTGAATCAAGTGTTTCTTGACGAAACTGGTTGCAAGATGTAGGAGATCCCATATGCAATGAATCCTGCAGACTACCCACTTGAAATGCCACAAACTATAATTAATCTCAGGTGAGTATACAACTAATCTTTAGTCAATAGTCTCCGCCCAGGACATGGGTTCAGGAAAGATGAAGAGCATTAGGCTCACCGACCTGGTCTACAAGAAGCCAAGTGATGGGATCCCTCTGTACCAATCGTGGAAAACTCTGGCCATGGACATTTTCTACGGTGGATTCGAGCCCCTCCGGGAGCCACTTCAGGCCAGAATCTCAACAGATGGGTCACTGGAGTGTGTGAAAGGGCTTGGGCGACTCAGCATCCTCTTCTTTGGATCCTTGTGGACCTTCTTGAAGAAGGACCAGCTGACGGAGGAACAGCGACTAGACTTTTGCAGGCGCACCATCCAACAGGTACTAAGATTTCAGAGCATATCTCAACAAGATCTTGTTCCAGACCTACTAAATGGTTGGAATGCATAACAGATTATAGATAATCTGCAATCTGTGATAATCTGCCATTATGTGACAATCTGTATTCTGCGGGTTTAATGTACTCAGGAATATCTGCTAAAATGCAATCTTTGGACAATCTGCATCGTGGATTTAGTATATTTTTCAGGAAACTCCCAGGGGTGAGGTTCTGGTCCAGATAGTCGTCCTTTGGGATATTCTGCTGATCCATGGAACCATCCATTGAAGAGTGCACAGTTCAAAACATATAAGAAATTACAATATTTCAGCATGACAACTGGTATATTTGGCAATAGTGATAATATGCTAGGTGCAAACTATGTATCATGGAGATAATATGCTAGGTGCAGAATATCCTCAGGGGTGAGGTTCTCACCCAGATGGTCGTCCCTTGTGGAAGTTGATTTTTAGCATGAAATCCGTGACGCAGATTGTCTCTCAGGATCTCTCAGGGGTGAGGTTCCCATCCAAAGGGTCGTCCCTTTAAAACCGCATATGATCAAAACATCGTCCCTGTAAGACCGCATATGATCAAAACATCGTCCCGCAGAATGTCTTTCCCAGACTTCCCCAAGCATAATATCTTCAAATTATGGAAGCATCAGATGTCATATCTTCAATTCATTTGATACCTATTATACTATAGTTGTCCTGCCTTCCTGGATTTCCCCGTTGTTTTGGAACATGGGAATTTCTTCTCCAAATGGTCCAAAAAAGGTTTCCTGACTATTTTTTTTCTAAAAAAAGGGAAGTCAGGTTCAAAGAATTTAGGGCCCAAACCAACAGGCAAATTGGCAGCCTGGAATCTCAGAAGGCCTTGCCTGCAACTTGTCAGGTGGCTTCGTACCGTGGTGACCTTTCCGTGCCACATCGTGAAGGAGGATCAGGAATCCCACTATGAATGGAAGAGGATCCAACAATCGGAACAACAATCTATGCGTGAACGAAAGAACATCATGCAGAAAGCTTTGGTGTTTTCCCGGAGAGCTACCAAATTGATGATTGAGGAGTGGGGGATGGATGCACTTTGAGGAGTTCAAACTTTTAGATAGCTGAAGGATATGCTCTTCCATAATCAATCATCAAAAAACATTGTCCCTCCATGTCCTTTACAAGCCCAGCCAGCATGTAACCTAAAGCCTCCAATGGTTTGCTGCGACTGTCCTACAGGAGCCTGGGTCCTACTTTGGAGACGCAGATGGATTTCGAATGGCTTTTTTGCGTGGTGTCGATGAATACAACAACTACGGAGCTGCATTGTCGAACCCACAGCTTCAGGTGGGGCGTGAAGCTGCACTTGAGCTCTACGGGTTCAAAGTTGCTCGGGGGCAAACCAAAAAAAAAAGTTTAATCTGTTTCAATCCCAGCTAATGAGAATATTTTGGAATGACTCAATGGAATTATAATGGGTTTGGGGTGGCCCTTTGCTCCATCAGAATTGTTCAAACCATCAAGTGGGGTAGTTTAAAGCTGTTTTTCCCAACAAAGATCCCGAGATATTAAGGTTGGTGTTGCTGATGATGTTTGGTCTGCCATCGAAAGTCATCTCCATCAATTCCGATGGGAGCAGTCAGGCTACGGTTTGACGAAAGCTTTTGAGTTTGATTCCTTAATTTGAAACTAAAAGCTTGGTGAGGTAGTACATGTTCAGAACATAATGATGTTGAATCTGTCACAACCTGTTGATTTTTAAGCTTTGTCTGAATCCCTGTTCAGCTTTCTCGCAGCAGCTGCTGTTGGAACCGCGGTGGTTGCTGGGGGGGACTGCAAAAGTCTCTGGATCAATGTGGCATAGCATTCTGACTGTCTCACCATCAAAGCAGAAGCTATTCATGGACCGCACTTTGCCACGAAACTAAACCAAGTTGGATTTCTAGTTTGTGTATGTACGAGAGGGCCCAAGTCAAGTTTGTACCTTTGTTTTTGTGTCTGCTTTAGATTCCTACTGAGGTATCCTGATTCTCCATTCGGTGAGCTCTAGACGGGGTGGCTCCAGGACTGTGGCCAGGCTCAGCCAACAAGAATGGATCACGGAAGTTGATGTGTGCTGCACTCTGGCATGGCTGAATCCAGCCTGGCTTTAATTTTACAGTTTTACATGCTACTTCTTGTTTGCTTTGGAGGCATGCTGTAAGAATTTATAACGTGCCCCTGCCCACACATGCGCACACCAAAAACTGTTCATGTTTCAAGTTTACTGGTTGCCTAATTTCACACATGTTTCTGTCCCAAAACTGCATGTTTCAGATATTGACTACGTGTTTGCACCTGAGCCCCGTGCCCATCCACACAAGGATTGCCGAGATGTCCATTGCCAACACCGATGACGGCAACTCCTTGTTCACCAGGGATATCATTGATGCTGTTAGAGAGCGCTGCATTGAGGGGATCCTTGCTACATTAGAATATAACATCTTTGCTTTTGGCCCCCCTGATGTTTTTAAGTTGCCAGAACTATTTGGCAGAAGCATCAAACAATGAAACTTCAGGGACTTCCACAATGAGATGAAGGAGGTACTGGCAACCAAAGACGTGGAGTACCGAGCATCCTTTGCAACATGCTGGAAGGACAATCTGATGGCAATTGTGCCAGTTGATGCAGACCCTTGTCCATAAAGTTTTGGAATAGAGTGTTGAACATGTGGAGAAAAGACTGAGCCAAGACGAACACTGTAAAAGGATTGTTCATGTCCTTTAGGTAGCTTTGAGGGGATCACACAACATCCATGATGATTTGGCTCTATATTGCATTCCTGTTCCAACTCAGGATCCGTTCAAAGAGTGTGATGAGCAGCTGGAATCCTTATCCAAAGATGCTCGACCCTTGGCTTATCATTCTCAGTTGATGAGTCTTCTACTTTGGACCCAACAAATACCAGACAGGATTGTTCTATCTTTCACAAGGTCCAATGAGAGTGGACACCCCTTCCCACAATCACAGTAGCCACGAAGAAGCATGTGTTTTACAGGTGCTGACATGAAATCCATGTAGCTTTAAATCTGCGGTCCATAAACATGACGTCAACCCCATAGCTTTTGATTGCCCCATCCTTTGCTGAGTAGCATTCTGCATTCTCCTTCACAGGCAAAGCTGCGTTCGAACGAGATTGCCTGCAGATCGCACGAGATGTTGCATTGCTTGGGCAGTTATTTGAGGCTGAGGAACGGTCGGAGAGCTTTGTCTGAATTTCAGCTATTTAAATTGCAACCACTGTAGCATTGAGTTGCACTTAACATCCCAAATCCCAATGTCATAACCAGCAACCAACATGGTTCTTGTAGCATTGGAATGAAACACCAAATCAATACCCTATTAATATAAGAATGTGGAATGGTGGTGATACCGTTGAACACTCCCAGAATCTCAGTTAGAGCATGATAAAGCCAAAAACATGGAAAAGTGCAAGCCGTTCACATTGGCTGCAGCATTGAGTCTTGAATCAAATCCTTTGAGCAGAAACAAAAGAGACCAGTCACAGGACACCAGGGGTGTAATCAAAAAAACAATGCGCCCCATTGCTTTCCAGGAAAGCCAAAAGAACGGCCCGTGTATTGCACTTGAAGAGTCAAAACTTGATCGGCGCGAGTGTTGTGAAAAACTACATGGACAATGCAGTGGACTTCAGGACAGGCGTTCCTGGAGAGGACTCGGACATCACCCTCGCGATGGAAAAGGCCAGATCTCACAACTGTTACCCTCCAAGGCATTTTGGGAAATACAGATACAGTACAAATATCATGGAGGTTCAATTTTACTGAAGCAACCTTAGCTTCTGCAATTTTCCTCAAACATCCCTCTCCAGCTCTCCCCATCACCCAATGCATGTTGCACAGCCCTGAGATGTCCAAAGAGCTGCAGTCGAAGGGTGGGGCCCTCTTGGTTTGGCTAGACATGACCAAGCTAGGGAAGATGACTGGCAAGGAGTTAGATCGTGCCATCAACTCGATGTGTGCAGCACTTCGTCTGCAGCCAACCACCTCCGTGGGCTTCCTCACCGCCCCAGTGCTTGTTTCGGCACAAGCCAGCAGCAGCAGAGAGGAGATGAGAAGAGTGGAAGATAAGATGGACATGAAACAACTTTCAAACCACCTTGTGTGCCTGAGGATGGAAGTACCACCTTCAACGAAGAAGGTACCGCTGACATTTTTCAGCTGGATCGTGATGGACAGCAGCACGGAAGCTTCCAACATCTTTCGTGGCTGCCAACTTTATGCAGACAAGTGCGGGGGTCAAAATTATTGATAAAAAAGGTGTTGAAATGCCACTGGGATCACTAAGACAACTAGTTCTTTCAAGCTATTGTTTTTGAGCGGCCTGACATACCCTGATCAGGGCTCCACGAAAACTGATCAGCTTTGCCCCTGAAACTTCGTATGTTGTGCCCACTGCTGAGCGTGATGCTCTCCCGCACGCTAGTGAGGGGATGAGGACATGGTTGAAAATCTTTGTTTGCATGGTTTTGCCATGAACAGCCCAAACATTCAATGAGGTTTCAAAACATTTTGGGTTCCGGGTCAAGATTATCTTTTAGGATTGAATAAGTTGCCAATGTCTGTTTCACGAAGTCTATTTTTCAAGACTATCGTTAAATGAAATTGCAGTCTGACAATTTCCAAAACTTGTTGGCAGCTGACTGATAGTCCCAAAAGCAAGTATTTTGTTCTACTAAATTACTAAATAGTTTTACTGCGTGTTTCTCATGAAAGGAATGAATATGTCACATCATGCCATATCATTATGGGGTATCTCTCAAAAGAACATGCCCAAAGGGGTATCTCATCAATGAATGTTGGGACCCCTTGAAAAGATTTACCAAATATATCCCAGTCCTGCCTCGCTCAAAAGCAGTTTTGCCACAGGAGCCTGTCAGAGTTCCAAGAAACAGCTCAACACCTCTCCGGGATTGGATTTCCGGAAGCCATCTTGACAGGACTGCTGTCGAAAACGAAGCTGGCGTCCAAGACTTTGGGGGTTCTGAACTGTACTCCATATGACTGCTGGCTGGAACGTGCTTGCATGAAGAGTCTTGGCACAACCTTGATGTTGTTCACCAATTTTTTTTTGCTTAGACTGAAGAATGCACAATCTTGAATGATGCAACAAATCTTCCACAGTCAGGCTGTTCCTGGGCCCCTAATGCGGTTCTTCCTTGACAGCTAGTGAAAATCAAACCTGTTCAGATTGATACAGTGTTGAAAAAACTACTCTCTTTGAAGTGTGGAAGATTAATCAGAAAAACAATATGAATCCACATCAATGGATGAATTAGAAAGTCTTGTGGGACCTCAGCTGAATTCCATAGTTCGTGAAATAAACCTCGCCATTCCGGCCTCTGCGAATCCAAGGGCGGATAGCTTCTTGCCTGGCTACAAGGTGATTTCCCTCAGCTGTTCCAAGAACACAGCAGTGATCGATTTCTGCGCAAAGACATTGGCACTTGAGCTGATGGAGGACTTCAGATTTGAAACACTGTTCCACAGAAAGCTTTGCATTTCAGAATCTATTCCATAGGCTCTCACGAATTAAGGGGTTTCCCCCTGTGGTCACAAATCTTTGAAACAAATACTTGTGCCAGTTCCAAGTCAAAAGTTTGCCCACCAGAACTTTTGAAATCGTTTGTTGCATTCATATTTTTTCTACAAGTCCTGAGGCATTCAAAAAATGTTCCTGCCTTACTGGAATGTTGCATGCTGCAGGCCTGGAAGACTGGAGCACACTTGATGGGAAATGTGCGACCCTATGACCCCACTCCAGTGGAACCACCAAATGAGGTGAATCTCGCGGATTTCAGCTTCAAGCTCGTTTCAGTGGAGATTGGGGCCCCTGATGCCAAAGCTTTCCATGAGAAATACAAGATCAAATTGTCAACTGCAATTCGATCTCGCTACCATGATGATGTCGTTTTTGGTAGTGACTGGCGGGAGCTCCTGATGGACTTCGATCGGAAGTCTTTAGGCTTTCACTGAAATCTTGTCTTCTTCAAACTTTTATTCTGATTTGGTTTTCCAAGTGGGTACCATAGATTTTGAAATTCCCTTTGGCTTGCTGTTTCCATTTACCCTGCTTCCAGCCTCAGGTTCCAGATCACTGGCCAGGTTCGTCTTGCAGAGAAGAAGCCAGTGAAACCTGAAGCGCTGCAGCAGCTTGCACCATGGACAGGTGAGCCGAAAACCATCAATGGCTTGCAAGACAAGTACGTGTTGGAAGCGAAGATCACAGGGCGGCTTGCAGGAACGACCCTTTTCGTTGTCATGGCCAAAGATCGAACAGGAAACCTCGAGACTTGTCAGGACTAAAAAGGAATATTCCAGTTCACTACTTTTCTTCACAACATTAGGTAGATTTCAAATCCATCATGGCATTCAAGGTTTTATTTGCAAGTCCTTCATGATGTCCGTGCTATACATCAAATCATATCTAACAAATGGCCCTCCAAACTCTTCACAACCAATGTCATTAGTCATTACTTTGAAACAGGTGTTTTACTTGCACTACGCCTGAATCACCTAAGGACCAAATTGAGGAGGGACAAGAACTGAAACTGTTCCTGGTGTCTTGGTGTGATTAAACTCTGATTGTTTCGTGATCTTTCCATGGATGCACCAGCCAGCCAAGCAAAACTTTTGGTTACGGGACAGCTGGGGTCACCAAGCTAACTTCTGAAACCGGGTTCCATCTTGTGAATCTGGTTTATCAAACATGCTTCTCCTTACAACAACCCTCACGTGACCCAGGCTGCACATGTGCCTGTGGAAATTGACGATCAAGAATACCTGATAGCACACGGAGCATCACGGTTCTTGAAAGCCGAGAAGATCATGGAGTTGAAGCGGAAGGGCAAGACAGGACCCTTTTTATTCCCTTCAAAATGATTTCACTGCAGCAATAGACTATTATGTTCTCATATTTTCTCATTTGCAGTGAATGCCTTGCTTAAAGGTGTGCTGTTTGCATCATCAGGCTCAAGCACCAACGTGGTGTCACTTTTGTCAGTTTTTTTGGGTGTTTGGTTTCACCTAAAAGCTTCCGTGAGCAGCTCCGCTGGTCATGAAGCTGGAAGACTTAGTGGCCGAAGCTGGGTTCAAACAGGACTGAGTGGTATATCTTTGTCAATGCATTTCTTTGACATATCAAAAATGTTGCTCATATAGGCTGACGAATCCAGTAGGTGTTCTCACCACAGCACCAGGATTTCGATATACTTTCGAAATCGGATGCCGCCTTCACTGAGACACCGCCGTGCAAAGCAGCAGGGCACTTATCAAATCATGAGAATTCAAACAGGTAAACATTGGTTCTGCAGCCTCGCTTGTGGATCCTTTTGGGACACTGGATTTGTCTATCCTGTATCTTATCAATCTCAGGCTCGATCTAGATCTCCCCCACTGTCTTCGACCCCACAAGCTGAGCAGAAGGACAGGAAACTTACTAATACTGTTTAATAATGGATCAAAAAAAAAGTTTCATGAGAGTCATCATCCCAGTTCCTCGCCTTCACCTTCGAAGGACTCTCCATGCTCGGCTCCATGCTCTGCTTCGAAGCCTGAGATGCCGCTGCGGACTTTTGAGTCCACTCCGGAAAGTAACCCTCCACTTTGCAGTGACAGGCTTGATGCTTTGAAGAGGTTAGTGGAACAAGCAAAGGAAGCCAAAAGCAGAAGGAACCAGAAGAACAAAGAATCAGAAAAGCAAGGAGCTGATGATGTTGCCCCGAAGTCCAACGAGAGCAAGAAGCCAGAGGGTGAGACTTCTCTACAGACCACAACTTTGCTTGACAGGTTTGACGATGCAGAAAGCACACAGGAGCAGAAGGTGGAAGATGATGAAGAAAGAAACGAGGAGGAAAGTGAAGATGAAAAAGAGAAGGCAGCACCAAAGAAAAAAAAGAGCAATGCTGAGATAGTGGACAGCAGTGAGGAGGATGTGACAGCTTTGGCCGCCAAGCCCGAGAAGAAAAAGAGCGAAGCACAGAAGAAGATCGAGAAGAAGACCAAGAAGAAAGCAGCAAAGGAGGCCATGGAGGAAGATGATGGTGAAGATACAGAAAATGAGGCTGAAGAAGAGAAGCCAGCAACAAAGAAAAACAAGAACAAGACCAAGGAGTCAGCAAAGACAGATGAGGATGAACCAAATGAGAAGGCCAGTCGAGTGGGCCAAGCTTTGGTTGTCCAGCCGGAGAAGAAGGAGATCAGAAAGCCGAAGAAGAATGAGAAGAAGATTGATGAGGAGGAAGCAGAGGAGGAGATTGAGAAAGAAGATGACACAGAGGAGCAACATGATGTTGAAGAAGAGGAGCCAGCAACAAAGACAAACAAGAACAAGACCAAGGAGTCAGCGAAGACAAAGGAGGATGAGCCAAAGAAGAAAGGCAGCCGAGTGGCCAAAGCTTTGGTCGCCCAGCCGGAGAAGAAGGAGATCAAAAAGCCGAAGAAGAACCAGAAGAAGATTGATGAGGAGGAAGCAGAGGAGGAGATTGAGAAAGAAGAAGACAAAGAGGAGGAATATGAGGTTGAAGAAGAGAAGCCAGCAACAAAGAAAAACAAGAACAAGACCAAGGAGTCAGCAAAGACAGAGGAGGATGAGCCAAAGAAGAAGGCCAGCCGAGTGGCCAAAGCTTTGGTTGTCCAGCCAGAGAAGAAGGAGATCAAAAAGCCCAAGAAGACCGAGAAGAAGACTGATGAGGAGGAAGCAGAGGAGGAGATTGAGAAAGAAGATGACACAGAGGAGGAATATGAGGTTGAAGAAGAGGAGCCAGCAACAAAGACAAACAAGAACAAGACCAAGGAGTCAGCAAAGACAAAGGAGGATGAGCCAAAGAAGAAAGCCAGCCGAGTGGCCCAAGCTTTGGTCGCCAAGCAGGAGAAGAAGGAGATCAGAAAGCCCAAGAAGACCGAGAAGAAGACTGATGAGGAGGAAGCAGAGGAGGAGATTGAGAAAGAAGAAGACACAGAGGAGCAACATGATGTTGAAGAAGAGGAGCCAGCAACAAAGAAAAACAAGAACAAGACCAAGGAGTCAGCAAAGACAGAGGAGGATGAGCCCAAGAAGAAAGCCAGCCGAGTGGCCCAAGCTTTGGTCGCCAAGCAGGAGAAGAAGGAGATCAAAAAGCCCAAGAAGACCGAGAAGAAGATTGATGAGGAGGAAGCAGAGGAGGAGATTGAGAAAGAAGAAGACAAAGAGGAGGAATATGAGGTTGAAGAAGAGAAGCCAGCAACAAAGAAAAACAAGAACAAGACCAAGGAGTCAGCAAAGACAAAGGAGGATGAGCCAAAGAAGAAAGCCAGCCGAGTGGCCCAAGCTTTGGTCGCCAAGCAGGAGAAGAAGGAGATCAGAAAGCCCAAGAAGACCGAGAAGAAGAGTGATGAGGAGGAAGCAGAGGAGGCGATTGAGAAAGAAGATGACAAAGAGGATGAATCTGAGGTTGAAGAAGAGAAGCCAGCAGCAAAGAAAAGTAAGAGAGAGACACAGGAGACAGCAAAGAAGGATGAGGATGAGCCAAAGAAGAAGGCCAGCCGAGTGGCCCAAGCTTTGGTCGCCCAGCCGGAGAAGAAGGAGATCAAAAAGCCCAAGAAGACCGAGAAGAAGACTGATGAGGAGGAAGCAGAGGAGTCAAAAGGAAAGGGGCAGCCCATGATGAAGCGCAAGAATCATGAAGATGAAGATGCTACCCCGAAGCCGAGCGGGCCCAAGAAGATGAAGATGCAGAAAGCTGTGGAGGAAACAGCTTCTGAGACCAAGAAGGATGAAGCCTTGGATGGAGATGAGGTGGAAAAGGATGACTTGGATGGAGAGTCCATGGAAGAGGAAGATCTGGAAGAAGATGAAATTGAAGAAATCCATCCCCCACAGGAGATGGAAGATGAGCCCAAGAAGAAAGGCAGCCGAGTGGCCGAAGCTTTGGTCGCCCAGCCGGAGAAGAAGGAGATCAAAAAGCCCAAGAAGACCGAGAAGAAGACTGATGAGGAGGAAGCAGAGGAGGAGATTGAGAAAGAAGATGACACAGAGGAGGAATATGAGGTTGAAGAAGAGAAGCCAGCAACAAAGAAAAACAAGAACAAGACCAAGGAGTCAGCAAAGACAAAGGAGGATGAGCCAAAGAAGAAAGCCAGCCGAGTGGCCCAAGCTTTGGTCGCCAAGCAGGAGAAGAAGGATATCAGAAAGCCCAAGAAGACCGAGAAGAAGAGTGATGAGGAGGAAGCAGAGGAGGCGATTGAGAAAGAAGATGACAAAGAGGATGAATCTGAGGTTGAAGAAGAGAAGCCAGCAGCAAAGAAAAGTAAGAGAGAGACACAGGAGACAGCAAAGAAGGGTGAGGATGAGCCCCAGAAAAGCCGGGCCAGCAAAGCAGCAAAGTATGTGGCCAAGGCCATTGCCAAGAAGAAAGTGTCAAAGAAGAAGGAAACCGAGGGTGATGGTTGCCTGGACTCAGAAGAGGAGTCCTCGTCGAAGTCAGATCGCCCAGAGGAATCGGACATGGATGAGGAACCTACAAGCAAAAAGCGCCCAAAGACTAAGGAAGAAAAAGACCCTAAGAATGCGAAGACTCAGCCAAAGAAAAGAAAGGTGGAGAAGCAGCAGCAGCAGCAGCCTGGCACTTCCAGCAAGCCCAGCAAGCCCAGCATAGCAGCGCGCGCTTTGGGATTGGCAGAACGCATCAAGCTCAGGCAGTCTGTCCCCAAAGCCAAGGCAAAGAGCCAGGCAGCCAAGACCAAAGAGGATGAGGAAGAGAAGTCAGGGAGTGGATCTGAGGCTGAGACTTCAGTCATGGGGGAGGCCGGGTCGTGGAGGGTTCCAGGACAGGATCCAAACCTATTATCAATTACAGTTATAGTATGTTTTGATGCCAACAATCAAATGCCTCAAGCATTTTGGGTCTGTCGCCATAGCCCCTTTTTGGGTCTAGACTCTAAACTGACCATGTATGTGGTTTGGAAAAGTTGTGCGGGTAAAACAACAAAGGTTTCTCAACCTGAAGGAATTCAGATTTCAGGGAAACTGTCACTTTTTAAGGATTATGTGACCAGCCATCCCCAGAAAAGGAATATGTTGCTTAAAGTTCCAACTTTATGGCACCCCCGTTTTGGAAATCCATGCTCTGGTTAGTTCAGGTTGGCTGGCTGAAAGTCAGTTTCTAGACATACAATTGAATTGGTACAAAACTCATAGAAATGAGAACCAACTGTTCCAGAAATCTTCCATGTGATTCCAGAACATTCTGGTTTCTCAAGCCAGTAACTTTTCAGACTGCTACTGCCTGCCGATTTTGATATATTTTGATGATTTGTACAAGCAACTGCCTAGATGTAAAATATTGAACCCACAAAGTGATGATGGGTATCAGGGTAGTTAAAAGTATTGATGTTTCTTGATACATGTGCCGATGTATCTGCAAATCTAAGTTCAGTCCATTTTCAAAACTTTTGTGTTTTTGAATCCAGAGCTCCACAATGCCACTTGAACCGCCCAGCACAGGTGCCTTTCCCGAGAAAGACGCCTGATCCTCGTCCCAAGGCCCGCACCAGAGCGAAGGCCAAGGCAAAGGCAGCAGCATCAGCAACTTCTGGGTCTAAGGCGGGCTCAACCAAAACAGTGGCAAACATTCATGAAACAAGTTTTGGGAATCTTAGAGTTTGAAGGGGCAACATTTACAAGTTGCATGTGGGTATGATCCTGAGTCACATTGTCAAAACATTTTCTACTTTGCATGTGGCCCTGCATGCATCTCCAGGACAAGGCCCTAATGGGAAGCTTTCATTCCTTTCTCAAGTCTGAGATCGCAGCTCTGGCAGAGAAGCACCCGGAGATGTCCGGCAAAGACCGCTTGGCTTTGGCACGCAAAACGTGCCAAGCTCAGAATACCACAACAAATTTGATCCAACCGATCCAACCCATGGATCAACAGCTGATTCGTAGAATTTCATGTGCATTGAAATTACACACAGTTGGAATATCATGCGCATTTAAAATTGTCACATTAAAAAAAACAAAATCCTTCCAACATTCTGAGCTCTTGCTACGCTGCAGGTGGCGCACCCATCCGAATCGAGTGAAGGTGATGGAAGGGATGAGCAAAGGTCAGTTGTCTCGTCGCCGACTGAAGCTCACTGTCTCTGAGCCAATGCCAGAGAATGGTGAGTGATGACTAAGTCAACACTGCAAGCAGCCCTTGCTTACCAGTAGGACATAGTGGGACCATGGTGCAGAGTAGATTAGCTTACAAACCAAAGTAGCTTGGAAATCCCAGCTGTGCACAGCCCAAAAAATATGTTTGGAAGTATCTAAGGACTTCTTAACCTTTCACGGGGTGTGTTGTCCAGGTATGAACTCAGTTGTCAATATAATTTGTTGTTGAAAACATCGTTTATGTCATTCGCATTCTTTGGGGCCCAAGCTACAGCTTTTGAACTCATCATGGATGATTAATGGCCGTCACTGCTAGACAGTGTGCTGAGTATTCTTAGACCTGGGGTGTGAATCTCACATCGCAGACCGGATGCTTTGGGGGAAAAGGACAGGCTATGATGTCTGTGTCAGCCAATGCTTTTTCAAGATAACATGTGTGTGCGTGGTTTCATCACCTTCACTCTTCATTCGATTTTAGTGTATCCGGAAACCATTTTGCTCCAGGAGATTTGCTCAAAATGATGGTTTGCTCTTGGAACAGTGACGAAGATGAAATCGTCATGGAAGTCCAGGAGAACCCAGTGGCCTCCATGCCCTTGCAACACTTTATTTATGTTCATTCAGGTTCAAGATTGCCCATTTGAAATTTATCAAAGGTACCGACTATCGATTTGAATAGGGAAATCACAATGTTTTTGAAGGAGGCCAAGACCACAGTGGACACCGAAAAGTCTTCGTGGAAGAAGTTGCTGGATGAATTTGAAGAGGAGGGCCACAGTGATCTACACATAAACGGTCACGACCTTCACAAAACCACTGAAGCAGAGACAGGTGGGGGTTACAGCCAGCCCATGCAAATCTTTGAGCATACCAAATAGTTCTAGATCTTGTCATTTGCATTTTATTGTATTCAAACTTCATTCTCTGGGTTACTTCTTGTTTCCATCTCCCATGTCAGGCGAAGAGAGGTGGTCCATTTCTCCCAAAGCTGCTCAGGCAAAGTTTTCAACTAGAGAATTGGTAGGACTCACTTTACAGCATGTTTCGGCATCATATTACCACTGCCGCTGTAGGTATGCTATGATTGGTCTGCCCCTACTTCCCCTGGTGCAGCCAAGTATTCATCAGTGGCTTCGCTCTTCAACACTTTGGAATCTTAGCTGCAATGCCATTTCTTGAAGAATCAATGTCTTCATTTGCATCAGTATTAAATCTGAAGTGTTGCAAGGACCTTGGAAATTCTCGCTTCCTGAAGCGTGTATGGAGAATCGGATACATGAAGGAGGCCAAGGCAACTTGACAGCAATTCGACGCAGTCAAATCAAGTTGTCTTACGGCTGCTGCAAACTGCAAGCATCAATCCAGCATGCTGGCTTACGTTTTGGATTGGTGCATCTCAGGAGTTCACTCCTCGAAACACGGCTGGAATAAGTTTTCCAATGGAAGTCCTATTGTGTATATCGTTTCATTTCTACAACGTGGCAAATGTGCTGGTGCAAGCATGTGTGCATTGCAATTTCTTAGTTGCTGGTTCAAATCTCAGGAAAACCGCTGTACTTTGCAAAGCAGAAGCTAGCACTGGCTGAGGGTGAGGTTGTCAGACTTGTGTAAAGCCCCATCCGAAACAAGTGTTTGCATAAAACATCATAAAACTATGACAAACAGTCATTGACAGCTTTACTGTGTTTCTTTAGCGGCATGCAAAGGACTGGGGCTTTTGCAATTTTGCGCCTGGATATTTTCTTGGACCCATTTGTGGGGCAGGAACTCGTGTTGAGTTTTTGTGGCACGAATGTAGTTGGCACCCAACAGAACATTATGCAATTTCTTGCCATTGCTCAAAAACATGTGCTTTGCTACAGCCACGGTGTGAGAGAACACGTGTCAAATTGAGTTAAGTCAGCTAGCAGCTATTTGCTACCCAAACATGACGCGGTGAGTGGAGTCAAAAAAGCCTGCACCACCAATCCAGCATTGAGAAGCTGAATCTCATTGAATTCCGCCCAGCAATCAGCAGAGTTCTGCAACGCAATGCATGCTTCGGCCGGCTCTATCAGGCTCACTTGGCTTGTACCAGTGAGGTGTTGTCTATTCGACATGTTGTTCACTGAAATTCTGATCCCAACTCAAGATGGCAGTCACATGGTCTCACCAAAAAGCAAGAGACCATTTACATAATATTATACATGAATTTTACATCTACCAGTGTTTGTATGACTTAGCAACATGCACACAATCCACCAGTGCTTCAGCAAAAACTAACACATTCCTGCTTTACTGGTTTGACTTTCATCTTTCGGTTCAATGGGGAAAGATGGCATGAGATACAAATACTTGGACAAGGTGGTCCCTGACGCAAGGGCCTTCAACAAATTTATGGGGCCATCAGTACCCGGGCTGCACATTGAATGGCTATGAGTTTCTTTCATTCTATTGCCCTGGCATAAAAAAATGGTATATACAATCTTTGCAATTAAGACCAGTTTCTGGTTGAGGTCGTCAAAAGAAAAAGGATGCAAAAGCGAAGGCTTTAGGGAGCCAATCGTGCCAGCAAGCCTTACCTTCTCAGTCCTCTACTTGTGAGATTGTTGCATGGGATCCTTATGAAAGCCCTGACCCAAAAAACATTGCCAATCAGACTACAGAACCTGAAGAAAACAAGAAAGCTGAAACCGAACAGTGGGCAGCATTACTCCCGCAGAAAAATGTCTTATGTGGCATGTGCCTTTATGCAGCGTTGCAATCAGAGAAAGGAGAAGAACAACCTCCCAAAATCCAAAAGGCCTTGAATGAGACGGCACGTCGTTACTGGGAGACTGGGTACAAGGAAATGGAAAAATTGACCCTGGAAAGCTACGCTTTGGGTTGCTTGGCTTGTAGCTAATGCTTGACCAGGCCAATGTCTTTAGTCATGTTTGACTTGTGGATTTTTTCCCATTGATTCATTCATAGCACCCAAAGATATGCCTAGATCTGAGGTCAAAAAGTGATCATGCTGGAAAATGAGAATCGAAAACTGAAAGCAAAGCTTCAAGCAGCCTCAATGGGCCGACGGTAGTTATTTTCTATTTCTTGCAGCTGGGGGTTACCTGCGAGAAAGATAAAAAAAATGCTAGCCGAGCAATGCCGAGCATGCAATCTGAATTTGCAAGTGCCAGCACTCACATCACCACTCACATCACCTCGCCGTGCCAAAGGACATGCAGTGTGGGTTGGCTAATTTCAGTGCCCATCTTGTTTGTTTTCCTGAGGCCATTGGTGCAACAGAAACCAGGCCACAGTGGACCAAAACTGGATGGAACGAAGGATGTTCGTTTGTGTGTTTTACATCTTGGGTAGCCATAGTTCATAAATTTCAAAGGAAATACATACATATGTACATATATAAGATATAATAGGTATATAATATATTATATAATAAGTACAAATATATTATGTGTCTATATATTATATATATACACGCATATATTATACATTAAATTTAGTAATGAAACCAATCACATTGTCAGTGACGAATCAGTTGCATGCTCAGCACACCCATTTGTCCAGTGTCTACTGCATAGTCTGTGGCGAATGATTTTCACGCTAGCACACATGACAAATTTAAAGCAGTTCCCACGTGCAACATACAGTACCAAAACACAATGGACAATAACATAAGTTATCATAAGTCCTGGCACACATCAACTTTGTGCCTCGCATCAACATACATGATCTACTATATCAAAGCTAGCCTTGCACTAGCTACAGTTTTGAATCTCATCTGTGCGACACAGTTTGGTCATTTGGTCGGTGGGCTTTACTTCTTTGTTTCTTGATGTGTTTCCTGTGTGTTAGTTTGCTTGGCCTGGCTTGCGTGCTTGCCATATATGTTTGTTTGTTGTTTGCCTCTTGCTTTTGTCTTTAGTTCTTTCTGGCGTTCTTTCTTGATTTCTTGATGTATGCCTTTCTTTCTTTCTTTCTTTCTTTCTTTGTTTCTTTCTTTATTTCCTTCTTTCTTGATTTCTTTATGTGTGCCTTTCTTTCTTTCTTTCTGTCTCTGTGTTTGCATTTTTTTCTCTCTTTTTTTCTCTCCTTTTTTCTCTCTGTTTTTCTCTCTTTTTTTCTTGTTTCTTTGCTTGCTTGCTTGCTTGCCTGCTTGCCTGCTTGCTTGCCTGCTTGCCTGCTTGCCTGCTTGCCTGCTTGCCTGCCTGCTTGCTTGCTTGCCTGCTTGCTTGCTTGCCTGCTTGCTTGCTTGCTTGCCTGCTTGCCTGCTTGCTTGCTTGCCTGCTTGCTTGCTTGCTTGCCTGCTTGCTTGCTTGTTTGACTTCTGTCTGTCTGTCTGTCTGTCTGTCTGTCTGTCCGTCTGCTTGTCTGTCTGTTTGTCCATCTGTCCTTCCGTCCCTCTGTCTGTCTGTCTTGTGTTTGTTTTCTGCCTGTATCTTTCTTCTCAAGATTTTTTTGCTTGGGTCATCCACCCATCCAAAGATATCATATTTTCCCATGACATCGCCACCGTGGTTCGCAGCCTTGAGCAGGCGTCTCGACATCTGAGGTGGCGAGTGTGAACAAACCGATAGTGTTCGAGCAAAAATTCAGCAGGTGTGAGTGTCACGTCACAGAATCTTGACATCTCGCGGCGGCTTGGAAAAATAAAGAGGTGAGCGGTCTTTCATCTTCACCAATTTTTTTCTTCAGTGATCTGAGCTCTTGCAATTACCGATCTTCATTCTTTTCAAGAAGCCAAAGCACATAGGACCCAGATATAAAGTTATAGGACCTAGTTATAACGAAATCTACTTAGATATTTTTTATGATATGTTCACCATATAAAAAAAATATTTCACATATGGTTATTTACGTTCTTCAATATGGTGATAGCCTATTGTTTACACCAGGTCCACCTTGTTCGCAACCAACGCCAGGTCTGCGTCTGAATATGTCGATCAATTGACTGTTGCTGGTGAAGTTCCCATTTGACAAATCACCTCCCCAATATACAAATAGAGACACTTAGCAGACATTACGATATTACAACCATATTGAATATATATACATATATATATATCATATATTGTATTTCATATATTATTAAATAGTATATATATATATCATATATTATAAAACATATTATATATCATATGTTTTGTAAAACATATCGAATATAATTTATTTCTAACATATTATATAAGATATTTTTAATATAACATACTATATAACATATATTATGTATAACATAGTATATATCACATTTTATATTTAACATTTTATATAATTTATATATATATATATAAACATATTATATATATATTATATATTGTGTATAACATATTATATATCATATAATATAAAAAAAACATACTATATATCATATATTATGTATAACATATTAAACATCATTTATTTCTAACATATTACATAAGATATTTTTAATATAGCATAATATATATCATATATATTATGTATAACATAGTATATATCATATTATATATATATAACATTATATATATTTTTTATATACAGCGGGTGCCAGAATTATAGAACGGAGCCAGGAGTACAAAAGTACGGTAAAATACCGTACCTTTGTACTCCTCCGGGTTCCGATTCCGCGCGGAGTCGGGAAATTTAATTATAGAACGGGGCCCGGGAAACATTAATTATAGAACGAAAATGGGAAATGTGAGAAAAATGGGGGAAAACATAATTATAGAACAGCAGCGCTCCGACAAGAATTATAGAACGACGAAAAAAGTTAGGAGTAAATTCAGATACGTTTTTTTTTTCACACCTTCCGAGGAAAACAGAATTATAGAACAACAGGGTACGGTAAATAACCGTACCTTCGTACTCCTCAACTTCCGTTCTATAATTCTGTTTTCCCCCATTTTTCCCACATTTACCAGGTGATTTTCTTAGATTTCATGGTGATTTTCTGAGATTTCATGGTGATTTTCTGAGATTTCATGGTGATTTTGTAGGATTTCTGGGACCCCGGAAGAGGTTTTATAATGCTATAATGAGTTTTTCCGTTCTATAATTAATTTTTCCGTTCGACGGAAAAATTAATTATAGAACGAGGCCCGGGAAACATTAATTATAGAACGAAAATGGGAAATGTGAGAAAAATGGGGGAAAACATAATTATAGAACAGCAGCGCTCCGACAAGAATTATAGAACGACGAAAAAAGTTAGGAGTAAATTCAGATACGTTTTTTTTCACACATTCCGAGGAAAACAGAATTATAGAACAACAGGGTACGGTAAATAACCGTACCTTCGTACTCCTGAACTTCCGTTCTATAATTCCGGCACCTGCAGTAAACATATTATATATTATATTTTATGTATAACATATTATATATAATATAATATATTCAACATATTATAAATTACATATTATATATTATATATTATTTATGACATATTATATATCATATATTAAATATAACATACTATATATTATATATTAAATATTACATATTATATTATATATATATATATCATATTATTTATAACATTATATATATATCATATATTATATTTCATATTTTATATTTAACATATTATATATCATATATTGTTTATAACCTATTATATATCATATATTATATATAACATATTATATAACATATAAAATTATATGTGATATGACTAGATATTAGCAAACTTATATATTATAACCCAGACATTTCCGGCCTGGCAGGTTATACTGCCTGGGCCCTCATTGACAACTTTGAGTGGGCGGACGGCTACCAACGCCGTTTTGGCATCACCTACAACGACTTTGGTCGACAGTGCCACGGCCGTTTCGGTGGATTCCCCGAAATGGGTGTGATCAAGACATATGAGACATATGGGTGGCTGAAAATTGGGTCAGTATACCTCAATATATTGCAATACGCAATTATGGGACCTCATTATACCTCATCATACTGTACCTCATTATACCTCAATATTGCAATATATTGCATTTTTCATAGGCAAAAGATGGGACAATTATGATCATCAAATTTGGGGCTACTCGCTAGCCCATGTTCAGGTACATTTGGGTAGAAACAATTGGTTTTGCGTGTCCTATTTGTTGGGCAGTTGGCTGGTGACCAGTTGGGAATTCACCATGAAAAACTCACAGAACGTACAGGAAACAACGAGGAAGAACACAATAGGAAACAAAGAAACTGGCAATGATGAAGGAAAACATCTCAACCACGAGATGTTGAGGTAGCCTATTTTCAGACCAACCCATAACCCATGTGAATAGAAAGGATGCTTGGAGTAGATCCAAAAAGATTAAGCTTACGTTGAAGCTTATTCTGCTATATCCAATGCAATGGTTTGGGATGTTTAAACTCGTATTGGTCATAAAAGATGCTGTTTCCGAATTCACGAAATGGTTTTAGCGTCAACATTTATTCTTCAGAGTATACAAAGCTATGTTTTAGTCACTGGCAGTTTTTCTATGTCCAGAACCCAAATTTTGGTCGGATTCCTTGAACGTGGACATTCATGCTGTACCTGAAACCTAATCAAACCTTGTCTTGGCTGAATAAACCTCAATTTTCATGGGTCAACACCTCAGGTATGACAAAACTTACTAGATTTGATACATGCACGTAAAACATGCTATATATGTTGTGTATTTTTGTTTTATGCAATATAACGTCACTTACCTGTGTATATATAATATCATACATTTTACGGATTTACAATAGATGTCAATTCTGCAAAGAACACGCATGGTATTGCATAATGATATCCACATCTGGAAGAACAAAATATCATGTGCATATACAGTAACTATACAGTATACATTATATATATATTAATATATATATATATATATATACGAATATATATATATATATGTAACATAGTATAACATATACATTTGTTTTAATATAGTAAATAGTATTACCTGAAGTAGTATTGTTTGGAGTGCTTTCTTTTCAATACCAAAAACATCGCCCAGGAAACGCACGCCCAAGAAGTCCGTTGCGCGGCGTTTTGATGGGCCCAGTGGGTAATGGTAGGGAATAAGTGCCCTAAGTTAGTATATTTATATACTGGCTAATATTATTTATATAATATTTATATAAGTGGTTAATAACCCTTGTCATAACTGGTTAGTAAGTGGGTGTATACCTAGTTCATGACCCTGGTTTCCCTGGTAGAAAGCCACAGCAACGTTGCGCAGTTGCTGCAATGTGATGCCCCAAGCCAGTTGTAAGGTGCTTATATTCCCCGTGCACATCATGATATATATATATATATACACTATAATATATATATATTATACACTATATATTAGATACGATATATATATATATATATATTATATTCATCATAAACCCTATAGCTGAATCTTAGGTGTTGAAATACCAGTCTTAGCGAACTGCTGGTGAAACACCACCAGGGCAGTGGTGATTTTGGGAACCAAAATTCGGTGACTTTGGATGAGCAAAATTCATTGAACTTGTTTGGTTGTTGGGATATTCCTGGAAATTTAGGCCTGATATATATATAGGCCTTATTTATGGTAGTTGTACCTCCAATGAATCGGTTCCTGTTGCATGGCCATCGAACTTGTTTGGTTGTTGTAGCACCAGGACCTTGTGTCTTTTGCTCAAAACTCAATGCCAACTATCATATCTTACGTGTTTGATATGTTTGTTGAAACATGTCTGCCCAGGATGAATGATGCCCCAATTGATAAGTGAGTTGGAGTTGACCAAAACAGGAATCAGTCTAGTCATACAATGGTACTTGCACATGAATGCTGGATATTGATCCATGAATCTCCCAGAAGTAGTTTAGGGAAAATTTTGCCCAATACATAACTTGTTTAAGGCGGTAATAAAGCATGGTTTCCAGTCGATTTCTCCTCAACATCCTTCAACCACTATGTTTTTGAATCCTGGCTTGACATTTCGATAGCCGCGCCAAGGCCAAGTGGTTCCAAAAATTGCTCACGTCAATTTAGCGCCGTAAAGGCTGCTTGTTGATGGCCAGAGACCGGAACAATCCGGCTGATTGTATTGTTGGTGACCGCACATCAAGTCCGGTTCGGGATGTACAATACATCAATACAAAATATTATCTGATTATCTGATGTAGTTGCATGATGTTGCATGTAGTTGGACTGGACAGGTTGGAGTACCTGGATAAACCTGCATAGCAGACTGGTTGCAGTCGGGGGGTGTGCCTACTGGGGTCCGGTAGCCCCACAGTTGGATTCTCAAGGTTTGTTAAACATTTGACACCTGCAACTTTGATGGTTTATCATTTATCATCATGCTCCCTGTCAAAATAAGATACGTAGTTTAGTTTATCTCAGTTTTGGGCTATAGATTCCCATTTTCAGACAGGCCCAAAAGTTGAGAAGGAAGGAGTCCTTTGGATGCCATGAAATGTCAGCGACCAACGGTTGGCCCAAAAGTTTAGACCTGCGACCCATGCGACGCATCTGGTGGTGACTGGTAGCCACCCCATCAAAATGGCTGTTCAACCGTGTCCAACCCCAGATCTATCTCATGCTGTTTGGTTTTTAAGCGACTTTGTTACCATGTGTTGCGTGTATCTTGATGGTCAAAGAATGGAACTACTTTCCAAAGATTCCAAGGATGGTTCTTGTCTCAAATGTCGATGGCAATCTTCAGGAAACCATGTTTTTTGTGCCCAAAGCATGCAAAAGGCCGAGGTTGAAGGATGTTGAAGGGAAAACAAAAACTAAGAGACCCCAGTCAATTTGGGGGTAAAGGCTCTGGTTTCCCTTCAGCCAATCCATTGACATACTGGACAATAACAATGGAACCTTCCTTATTTAGGTTGGTGATTTTTCAAATGAGACATGTTAAGACCTCCATCTATAGGGGATTTCTCAGCTAGCCATGTATGATTGCACGAGGGTAACTTTCCACCTGACGCGGCGCGGGCGCAGCCCGGCTTTCGTCGTCCAAAGTTGACGACGTCGACGATTCCAATTTCGTCGTCCCATGCGGCAGCGATCAGCGGCCCGGGTTTTACCATCAAAAGGCTGGAATAGAGAGTATCGATGCAGTTGTGTTCATATTATTTGAAACACATCTTTTGGCAGGGTATCTGAGATATCAAGCAGCACACACATATGTATATAGTATATATATATGTATATATCATTTATATAATATAATATATACATATACATGTAATACATAATATATATATATATATTCGCTACAGAACATTATATGGGGTATTATGGGGGATATTAACCAACCTGGGGCTATTAACCAACCAAAAAGACACAAAAAATATGCAGTGATTCGATTCTGCAAGCCTGGCTTGGTAAACTGTTACAGTTTGCGAACTGGAACATGGCCATTTAGTTCGTTGATTTACCTATAAACAAATGGTGATTTTCCATAACTATGTTAAATTACCAGAGGGTATAATGTATATATAATAATTATTATATATAGATTATATTATATATATATTATGTATATATATATATGTATATATATACATACCCATCCCTACTATGACTGGTACAGAGTTTTGTGTAGTATTACCTGAATGTTATCAAACTCCACCCTTGTCAAACTCAGGGGATGTCAAAGATCATCTTCGAAATTTGCTCCGTGATTTCGATATCAATGGGCAGGCACATATAGAGGATGTCTTTTTGGCACCAGACTATCATATACCCTCTGGTAATTTAACGTAGCTATTGAAAATGACCATTTATCGTGGATTTACCCATTAATCATGATGATTTTCTATAGCTACGTTAGTTTACCAGAGGGTAGATTGCCAATGTATGTGAATTCATGTCTATCCCTAGTGCTCCAAAAAATACCCTCTGAGAAGGTGTAACCAGGCCCCAAAAAGCAACTCCAAATACATTCTCAGTGTCGGTGTTTGGAGCTGTAGGGTACCCTCTGGTAAACGTTTACATAGCTATGGAAAAGCACCATTTTCAATGGGAAAATCCACTATTTCTATGGACATTTTCAATAGCTATTTTGACATTACCAGAGGGTAATCCCATTAATATCACATTAATATCCCATTAATATCACATTAATATCCCATAAAATCACTATAAAATCCTTGTTAAACCATTAAAACCTCCATAACTTATTCAATTCCACACCTCCCGGATCACCATACGTTGGAAGTGCGGTCCGACGCGACCTGTTTAGCGGGCCGCCCGCTGCCCATGCGCATACGGCCCAAGGCCCAAGGCCGGCCTATGACTGACGTCGAAGGACGTGCAGATCTTCAATTTAGCTTCAAGTGCAGATCACAAAACGATCATCATGTTGGATTTTGTTGGATTTTGATGGATTTGGGATCTTGGGGATCTTGTTATTATCAATAAAATGATGTGAATTTTATGGTGGATACTTCGATACTTCGAGATTTGTGGTGGATACTCTTTTAAGCGACGAAGGCGGAGTGTGATACCAAGATACCATGTCCGCAGGGTGATGAGGAATTGGTTGATACTGTACATTGTTTGTAGATCTCGCAGGACCCAAGATGCTACGGCTGCATAGCTATGTAACATAGACATGGCCCCGATTGAATTTTTGAGGGACAGCTACAACCGCCAGCCAGATGGCCAGATGAACATCCCAGTATGTGAATCAAAACCTATCTGGTTGGTGGTTTGGAAGATTTTTTATGACTTTCCAATACTTTCCATATATTGGCAATGTCATCATCCCAACCGACTTTCATGTTTTTCAGAGGGGTGGCGAAAAACCACCAACCAGCTATAAGTACCAAATTAGAGTATATTTTGGGGTATGAGCCAACCAGCTAGACCATCTATTCGCAGCTACACCAGGGGATAGATCCAACAGATTTCTGCCCGAGCAATTTCTGGAGCGAGCAACAAAAAGCCCACGGCAGCCGTGGTGGGACTTGGAGAAGCCAAGGGTGTTTCCTGCAGGAAGGGCCGCCCAAAGGATAGGTTTAACCTGTGGGGATGGTGACTTAGCCAGCAACACATTGCG